GGAACCTAATTAATGGTAATGGATAATATAATGCGTGATTAAGATGCAATTCTTTGCCATTAGCGTTTATATAAGAGATGAGGATTGAAAACTATTTTTCTTTTTCTTTTTGTTTTACAATAGAAATTTGAATTGTTTTGTAATTTATTATATATTTTGTCATATTGGAAACTATATAAATGTATGCTTAAGATTAGAAAAAATTATCTTCCCTTCTTTTTCTTATGAGCGTTACACTTATGTTAGGATTAGGAAAAAATTTCTTCCCCTTCCTTATTGTAAACTAAGCATGTTATTAGTTTCTTTCATCTTTCACTCTTTGTTAAAAATTTATATTTATAACATCAATTTATGTCCTAAATTATATTTATTAAAGTGATTCAAATTTAATGTGAAACAAAAAAGAGTTTAATACAATATTATAAATGAATTATATTTGTTTACATATGGTGAAATTAAAAGATTAAGAAAGAAATAAAGGAAAATTTAATATTTTCTTAAGTTTAGAGGGAGGCAAAAAAGAGAAGAGGAGAGATTTTTTTATGGGTTTTACTATAAAAAGAAAGTCCCAAGAGTATGAAAAATGAAGGAAATGGAAAGGAAGGGAGGAGAGACCATCGAAGTAGAAAATAATTTTTATATTTTTGTTTTTTGATATAAAAATTAAATTTTATTAAGAAAAATAAAAATAAAATTTTTTAAAATTAATTTTAATTTTTATGAATATTTTTTATACAACTTAATTAGTTCTTTCTACAATTTGTTTTACTCATCCAAACAAGCTGGAAAGAATTTTCTTTCTTAATATTTGAACTTATCTAAACATTAAATGTTTTTTATTTTATTTCCACTCTATTTGTCATCCTCTTATTTCTTTTTTCTCTATTTTACTTTGCATCCAAACAAAACATAACTCTAAAGGCTAACTAAAGGAGTAATATTATACAAGTTTTAAATAAAATATTTTTATCATATTTCTTATTAATTCAACACTTCTCATACCTATTAGTTGCCATGTTGTATTTTGGGATGTTGCAACCTAATTGTTGTTGCTTAATTTCCATGGTATGATATGCTACCTTCCTTAAGATGGGTTTTTCTCCTTAATAAAATTAATCTAGTATAAAATATTGTTTAGTATCTTATATTAGAAATCGTTGCTTATTTGAGATGTTAGCTACAATAATGATAGTTTCTACTAGGATATGGTTGTTTAAGAATTTTTTGGTTTTTAAGAAAATGGCATGGGAGATGCTCTTTCGTATATAGTATTTCTTAACGACTTGTAGCAACCCAAAATGCTTAGTAAAAAAGAGACATGGGGACCAAGGAGGTGGGCATGTTCTTAAAAGCTAAAATAAAAATCAAGAGTCCTTGTATTTACTCCAACCAACTGCTACATATAAATAAATTTGGGGCAAAAAAGGCCACATAAATAACACACATTTTTAAAATGAAAATTTTATAATTAAAAGTAATTTGAAAATAAAAATAAAAAATGTTTTCTCAAACCAAATTTTTTTTCCTTTTCTTAATCGATCAAAGTAAAAATAGATTTTTTTTCCTCATGCCTAGGACAAAATATATGAATTAAACAAAAAGCTTAAGATAAAAAAGACTTTGTTATAAAATTAATGTAAAATTATAATAAAAAAAGATAGAAAGAACAAAATTAAAAAGAAAGAAAGAATTTTAATTTTATTTTAGACATTCTTGATGCAAATGACATGTCATATTTATAGACTTAAATTTACAACTCAAAAGTTTCATTTCTTAAAGTGTGAATTAAATAAATGATTACAATATTTTAGGTTTCAAGTAAATTAAAGCTAAAAAATAACATTTACTCATAATAATTCATAACACTTTTTCTTGGATATCTATTATTTGAGAATGTTCTTCATAAAACCTTACTAGGAACAACTCTATGGAATAAAAACTCAGCGAAAGAAAAAAAGTCAATTAGCCTTTAATACGCTATTAAATACTGTCTTATTAAAACCCGCTCGCCATCTTAACCAAGACCCACCTAATCAGATAGATGACTCAGACGAAAATGGGTCATGTTATATCAATATCAGTTTGCTTTAGTTTGAAGTTTTTTTTTATCAGAAACCAACCGAATCCAATCAGTGTCCACCTTTAGTTACAAGTTGATAAATGTTTTCTCAAACCAAATTTTTTTTCCTTTTCTTAATCGATCAAAGTAAAAATAGATTTTTTTTCCTCATGCCTAGGACAAAATATATGAATTAAACAAAAAGCTTAAGATAAAAAAGACTTTGTTATAAAATTAATGTAAAATTATAATAAAAAAAGATAGAAAGAACAAAATTAAAAAGAAAGAAAGAATTTTAATTTTATTTTAGACATTCTTGATGCAAATGACATGTCATATTTATAGACTTAAATTTACAACTCAAAAGTTTCATTTCTTAAAGTGTGAATTAAATAAATGATTACAATATTTTAGGTTTCAAGTAAATTAAAGCTAAAAAATAACATTTACTCATAATAATTCATAACACTTTTTCTTGGATATCTATTATTTGAGAATGTTCTTCATAAAACCTTACTAGGAACAACTCTATGGAATAAAAACTCAGCGAAAGAAAAAAAGTCAATTAGCCTTTAATACGCTATTAAATACTGTCTTATTAAAACCCGCTCGCCATCTTAACCAAGACCCACCTAATCAGATAGATGACTCAGACGAAAATGGGTCATGTTATATCAATATCAGTTTGCTTTAGTTTGAAGTTTTTTTTTATCAGAAACCAACCGAATCCAATCAGTGTCCACCTTTAGTTACAAGTTGATAAATGTTTTCTCAAACCAAATTTTTTTTCCTTTTCTTAATCGATCAAAGTAAAAATAGATTTTTTTTCCTCATGCCTAGGACAAAATATATGAATTAAACAAAAAGCTTAAGATAAAAAAGACTTTGTTATAAAATTAATGTAAAATTATAATAAAAAAAGATAGAAAGAACAAAATTAAAAAGAAAGAAAGAATTTTAATTTTATTTTAGACATTCTTGATGCAAATGAGATGTCATATTTATAGACTTAAATTTACAACTCAAAAGTTTCATTTCTTAAAGTGTGAATTAAATAAATGATTACAATATTTTAGGTTTCAAGTAAATTAAAGCTAAAAAATAACATTTACTCATAATAATTCATAACACTTTTTCTTGGATATCTATTATTTGAGAATGTTCTTCATAAAACCTTACTAGGAACAACTCTATGGAATAAAAACTCAGCGAAAGAAAAAAAGTCAATTAGCCTTTAATACGCTATTAAATACTGTCTTATTAAAACCCGCTCGCCATCTTAACCAAGACCCACCTAATCAGATAGATGACTCAGACGAAAATGGGTCATGTTATATCAATATCAGTTTGCTTTAGTTTGAAGTTTTTTTTTATCAGAAACCAACCGAATCCAATCAGTGTCCACCTTTAGTTACAAGTTGATAACAAATTATCTAGTTGACGCATCAATTAAAAACATAAAATATCTTAATAGTTCACATTATAGTTGTATTGTTTCATAAATATTATATTGTATATGTTCAAAAAATGTGAGATATTCACTTCCAATTTTAACTAATGAAGGTCAAGTAATTAATTTTCCTTAAGAACAAGTAACACATGAGAAAATATTATATTATTAAAGAATCTGTTAACTTTTCAATGCATGTCCATATGAATTTTTAATTATTTTTCATATCTTGATTGATCCAAGATAGCCTAACAGTTCATGCAAATAAAATAATTATTATAATTTGTAAAATTTTTAATATTTACAATAACATGTGTTATAATATTTATATATGTGTAGTACAAAATAGAAGAAAATTAAGGTAATTTTTCTAACACATTTTTATTTAAGATGAATTTTATGATATAAATGTGTTGTAATTTTCCTTCATTTATTGTTAAAATATGATATTCAATTTGTGGATATCCTTGAAACTTAATGACTTTCTATAAGACTCAGTGGAATATAATACACCAACAATATATAATTTTATTTCACTAGACAATAATATATTAGTCCTACTATAGCCTTCAATAATTTTTGTACTATTAGATATGGTGTTAACATTGACCTTTTGCATTACTAAATGAAAGAAATATTTCTTATCATTAAGAATTGTATGAGTTGTTGCATTATCAACAAAATATGTGTCTTTATTGTTGGTGCTTACCAAAAAAAATTCATTTTTTATTATAAAAATAAATAAATAAAAAAATTTAGATAGTCAAAGAATGATTAAAAATTAAAATTAATTTATTTAAAATGATTATATTAATAATTTAATTAAATTTTAACATCTAATACTCATGATAAGTAATTTTTTTTGTAATGTCAAGTTTCACAAATTTAAAATTTGTAAGATTTGACATATTCAATATTATCATAAAAATATAAAAACAAGTTATATATTATTTAAATATTATGATGATCAAAAGAAAAAAATTATATATACATAAAAATAAAATTAAACATTTAATTAATAAATAAAAATATTAAAGATCAAATATTATATTATATACTAGATAATAATTCAATGCTAGCAAATTTTAAATTACTAATAAAATTTTTTGTGGACACAAGTTTGTAAGTATAGTAATTTAAATTAAAATATATAAGTAATGATATTTTTCCATAAAAAATAAAAATTAAATAATATCATACTTTTTTCCTAAAAACATAAAATTTCTTGCATAAATGTGTATTATAGCCTTGTATTGATAAAATATTATAAAATTAATATAAAATTATAATAGACAAATAAGAAAATAAAAAAAATAATCTAAATTTTATTTCATATATTGTCAACACAAATAAAATATTTTATTTATAAACTTAAATCTACGATTCAAAATTTCATATTTTTAATATCTTTAAGTACGAATTAAATAAATGACTGTAATATCTTAAATTATAAAAAATATAAAAAAAGTAAAAAATAAACACTTATTCATAATAATTCGTAACAAATTTTTATTTTTTGAGTCAAAAGTATTAATTCTTTTCTTTATTATACGCTCTCATGTTTAAGATTGAAAATCTAAAACTTAAACTTAATGTTAGATTTAGTTATGTGTACACCAGACTAAGAAAAATAGACTCTAATATCATGTCATGAAGAGTTATTCAAATCTAATTCAATCCAAAAACTAGTAAAAGTCTTAAATGAAATAATTTGATCATATTGCTAATTAATATATGAGATCTTAATCTTGCTTCTCATACCATACTTGCTTCTCTCGTATCAGCTGCCAAGGTTGTATTTTGTGGTTGTGCAACCTAATTACTGCCGCTCAATTTCCTGGAAATGATATGCTACATTGCTTGAGATAGGTTTTACCCAACTATAAATTTAGTCTATTATAATAATAAAAAATTATTATAAAATAGCAAGCAATTTGTACAACTACCCTTGAACCTTTATTTGAGTAAATAGTGCTTTTTAATGGCTTGTAGCAAATGCTTATTCAAAAAGCAAAGAGGGGGACAAGGGAAGTGGGCATGCCCTTATAAGCCAAGAAAAATTAAGACCAAGTTCTTACTCCAACCAACTGCCTCAAATAATGAAACTTGGGGACAAAAAGGAGCCATATAATTAAGATACAAACACACCTTCAAGATGATCATTTACATGCTCAATAACCCTCCCACTAAGTTCTTAGGCAACACTGAAAGAACTTGCTGTGCTCTCCACAAATCTTCTTGCTCCCTTAAACCACCTCTTGTCTCCAGCTTGAGCCTTGCAAATGTATAGTTTTCCATCTTTTACAGTTGCTATAACTAGCTGGTGCTTGCCACCTTCATCTCCATCAGCTGTCCTTGTCAACACAGAAAAATTGTAGTACTGTTTCCCTTCAATGACTGGTGTTGAACTTTCTAAGATGTTTGCTGTTGCTACAACATTTGTATCAAAACCACCCTGAGATATTTAAGTTCACAAGAAGTTAGCATATGCAAGAATTTGGTACCTTCTCAATGGTTAAACTCAAAATTATAGAATCTTTCAGAAAATGAAAATTTTGGGTAAAAGTTATTATGATTCATTTTGTATTTTTTGCTAAGATTGTTAATAAGAAAACACAAAAAAAACTAGCTGTTTTAAAAGAAATAAAAATATAATTAATACATACTCTTTTAATTTATGTACTTAATCAGTACCTTAAGGGAACTTGTTAGAAGGTGGCGAAAGAAGAAAAAAAAAGAAAACAATAGTAAGCTTGAAAATGTATGTCATAATGCTATTCATAAATTATTAATTAATTACCTCAGCATCAGTTTGGCCAAAGAAGGCTTGTTTTCCAAACAAATAATCCACCTGCAAAAAGGAAATACCAAATCTTGAATGTTCAGCTAGCAATTATCTTTAAAATTCTTAGACATTATTCAATTGAATTTCGGAATTGCTTCACTCAAAACTTGTACTCTTACACTGGTTTATTTTATTAGTCTTCCTTATTAATTATAAAACAAGCTACTAAATATAGAAAAGTTTACCTGAGATAGGAACTGCTCAGGTGAACCATAGTCAGCGATGGACTTCTTATCAGTGGCAGTGACCATTACAGAAACATTGCTGGTTGAATCAAAGTTATCCTCATATCTAAGAACCTGACCTGGGTACTCAACCTCTTTGCTTGGATTCCACTTTGAGGGAATTGACAGTTTGAATCCATCTCCATTATATGGCGAGAAATCCGTGTTTGCCTTTGGCTTTCCAAACACATTGGCTGCAAGCAAAAATGATAATTATTATTATTTTTTTTTTCTGGAGTTTTCCAAGTACTTGAAAATATTTGGATAGAAACTATTCTTTGGCCTTCTCTTAACAGTATAAACTTTTGAGATAGTTGGTTCGTTTACATAATATGAGAGATAAAAAATACTCTAATCCTCACCAACAACTCTTTCAATTATAAAAAATACTTTTTCTGATTCTTTCAAGCCACTCTTGACATACTATCTAGACCTATGCGAATTTCTTGATTTTGTCCTATGATCACTCAATTTCTTTTTTATTTAAACTCTACCATGCAAAGAATAGACAATGCTCAAAAACCAGAAGTAAATTGCACACTTTCCCCACTACAAAATAGCATTTCAATTAAAAGCAAAGGTATTACAGTTATTAATTGGTTTCTCCAAGAAGTTTCATGTCACCAAGGAAAGTGTGATTTCCATAAAAAATCAAAACACCGGGTTCCTCACTGATAATCTTGCTCAACCAAGGTTTCAAATTGCAGTCCTTAACTTAAAAGAGGAATGTCATTAGCACTCTTTTTGACACATTCTCTGTAGTTGGCCAATTTTGAAAAAAAGAAAAAGAAAAAGTGATCGATATAGGTACTTTAGTTTTTTTTGAAAATAAAGAGTCTCACTAACCATTTTCCTATTTAAGGAATCAATAAATATTTATTATTTCTTAAGAATCATTTTGGAGTGCATTAAAATCATCGAAGTAAGCACATTTTTATATTTTTCAACAAAATATTTCTATTTTTTATTCTTTAACCATTTCCCTTAACATTTCTCAAAAAACAAATTGAAAAAACATTTTTAAATAGTGAGTTATTAACATTTTAAATATATAGTGCATGTTTAGTTTAACTTATTTAAAAAGTAATTATTATTATTTTCAGCCTTTTGAAAGCATTTAAAAGAAAAAACAATGAGATCTTCAAAATTAAGCTGAACCAAAAATTCAATGGTCATCAGAAGAGGTGCAAAAATGCAAAATACCAGCTTCACCATAGGCTGCATCAGCTGGTGACACCTTTGAGCCAACAGCAGCAGCACCAATGAGTACTGTGAGGGCTAATCTTCGAGAAACAAAGGTGGCATCATTCTCTTGGACAACATGTTTCTGTGCTTTGCAAACAATGTGGTTTGTCTTGGTGCTCACCACTTGGCGCTGTGATGAACTTCTAATTGGTGTAGTGAAGGCATGTTGGTGCAAGAAACATTGGGTAGAGGCCATTTTGTGTGTGGGAATTCTTAACAGTTTCCTTGGCCTGTGAATCAGATTCTATGGTATAGTTGGCAAAATGTGTGTGGACTTAGATGTGGGGTGTGTGATGTGGCATTGAAAATGTGGCTGATAGTGGATATTGCATTTGTAAGTGAATGATTGGTAACATTTTGGATTGAATTTCTGATGTTGGATAAGAGACTTGGGGCTCTTATTGCTTCTACGTGGCACCATGCATATATGCTTCCTTAGACAATATTTATGACTTATTTTTTAGGTACTGTTTACTATTTCCATTTTCTTAATCATGCAGTTGAAGTCATGTATTAAGAAATTAAAAATTAAGAAATATTATTTTAAAATTATAAGCAATATTTCATATATATTTTAAATAATAATTTAAAATACTTAACTTAACAAGTTGTATTAAATACTAAAAAATTATTGTGTATAATAGTTTTATTCGTAATTATCTTTGACGAAAGATATATGTAATTTTAAAAAATTAGAAAAATATATACTTAATAGTTTTCAAAAAATAAAATGTGGGTTAAAAATTTTAATTAATTAAAATTGAAAATTTATTTTAATGAAAATTTTATATTTAATATTAGTATATATTAACAAAAGAAAATATATTCGAGGGTACAGTCAACCCTTGTGTTAAGGACTCGAATATGTTGAAACATGCACCCATGCCCACATAAATACATACATCAATGTTTTCAAAATTAAATTGAATTGAGTTTTCATTGGTTCAATTTAAATAAAACACAACCGGACATGATTTAATAATTAATAATAAATTGTGAATATTATAAATACATGTGGAAGATGAAAAAAAATATAAATTTTGAAAAAATTAAAAGGAATATTGTTTTTCTGATAATAAAATTAAAATATAGTTGTTTAAAATTTATTAAACTAGTTTTGGGATTATTTTTATATCTGTAAATATTTCAATGTTAATTGAAAAGTTTTGATTATGGATTGACATAAGTTAAGAAGCTAAAAGTTTCTTTAATTTAGTAACTAGTTAAAGAGAAAAATATTAATTTAATTTAATTTAGAGTTTTATATCACATTAATGTTGTAAAATGAGGAAAATATATTATATATTATAATAAGAAAACAAAACATACACCAAAGATCTCATCTTTATAAGTGAGAGTTATAATTAATACTTTAATAGTAATTTATTTAAATTTTATATAAAATAAAACTTAATGCAATACTACAAATAATAATAATTTTAGTTTTCATTAAAATCAACATTTCATTGTAAAAATAATTAGGAATCGAATCCGTCTGATCTAAGGGAAAACTAGTAATATATATATATATACACACACAAATACTAGTGAATCTTTTTGTGCATTGTAGGGTATTAGGGTATTAATTAAAAATATATTGTTTTATTATTTTTAAAAAATAAAGTTTAAAATTCTATTATATTAAATATGATTCATTGAAAGAGATATTTTTAAAATTTATAAAAAATAAAATTTAAAATTGATATTAATATTAATATTAATATTTTAAAACTAAATTCTAAATGCAAAAAAGTCATGTGATATAACAATAAAGGATTAATAATATTTTTATTTAAAAGATATGACTTAGAATTTATATATATAGAAGTAGATTGCTTTTAATATCTAAATTAATTTTGTTTAGGTGAAATAAAAAAAAATAATGAGAAAGAAATAAGAGGAAGAGAAGAAATATTGTAAAAATAGAGTAGAAAATATTTTATGTTTAGATATATTAAAATTAAAAAAATTAATTTTACTTGTTTGAACGAATAAGAAAAAGTATAAATAAATTTAATTATACTAAAAATAATTTTGTGAATAATCAAAAGTCGAAACAAATACACGTCGAAGCTATACTTTGCATATATTTAGAGATCCAAGCTACTGTAAGAGCAATGAAAAAATAAGAACACATGCACACATCAAAGCCACATACACAAAAATCAAATAGTGCCTTTAATCCCTTATATAATTAGAACAATGAAAACTTTTTTAGATCTTTTGAGAACTTTGATTCTCAATTAGAGAACTACAATGTTACATAACTTTGATATCATGTAACATTGGAGTTCTACTACTCTAAATCATATTTAACTCCTTTCCTCAATTGATTTTACTTATCATCTGAATATATCTAACTATAGTTGTTGGAAGTTGATTAGTTTACACAATATTAATATTATGTCTGTTTCTATTATTTTCATTCTTCATTCAAAGATGTTTTAAGGACTTATTTAATGGTTAGTATAAGATATCATAGTTGAACAAGAGCATGATAATTTTTTATTATATTTAATGTTTGATGTAGAGATGATAAAACAAAGGATATGATAGAAATATAAATGACAAAATTACTCTTTTATCTGCATTTACTAAATTTTATTTTTTCACTCCATATAAATTATTTATTTTTAATTTATAAAAAATGTAAAAATAATTTAATATATTTTAAATTTTTAATATATTTTAAAAATATATAAAAATAGAGAAAAAATATAATAGAATAAATTAATAATATTTTGAGAAAAACAGTTACTATTCTTTCTTTTGTCTTTTAATCAAACTATATTCTCAGTAAGTATCAAGTAACAGATAAATTAATTATATTTTTGTACCTCACTAAACATTTAATTTAATATATTATCTTATTTTATGTATATTTATTTTGACCACCAATGAAGTCCTAAGATTAAAAGAAAAACTGTTAAAAAATATTAAAGATGAGAAAAAAATTATTTTTTACATATATTTTAATACTCAAATTAATGCTTGTAATAATAAATATTATAAGATCTCATCAATCAAACCATCATAAAGTAAAAAGATTTAAAAAAAAAAACTAGTAATACACTTATTTATATAATTTTTTAAATATATTTTTAATTATTAGTTAAAATTAACAAAATTATGTAAGTCTCTTTTTTAAATTAATATTGACCCATTATACTTTTATAATTTTTAACAAATTTTAATTTTTAATATATTTAAAAATATATTACTGAGCATTTCTCCATAACCCACATGCCTAAGATGATAAACAAGATCCTTGACTGATTCTAAGTCACAAATTGAACATAAAATATTAAATACGCAGATCAATTTATATATTTACAATGCAACGAAGACCATTAATCCAAAATTTTCAAAACTCGACAGCAAACATTCCAATTATTAATAAACTTAATTAGACACGTTGTCCATTTATTTTTCTTTTAACCTTTATTTTAATCGCTTAATTAATTCATCAATATCATCATATCTCTAAGTTCATTTTTAATATTATATTTTTAAATTATTATAACGTATCAACCATTCTTGATGTGACATTCTTTATTAACATTTTCTAATTAACTTGATACATCGTTAATTAATAAAAAATTTAAGACTTAATCAGATTACCGTTTAATGTATGTAGGATGGAGTTTTCACACTTTATAAGTTAAATTTATTGAGAGAAAAAAACAAAAACAATTTGCTGCAAGTCAATCTCTGTTAACAACGTAGAAATGTGTTAAAAGTACGTTTTCTAACGTAATTTATTGATTAAACTTGATTAAAATTATAAAAATATATTAAAAATAAGAGAAAGTAATTTTTTTATAATTTTTAATAAAAAATTTAAAATGTATCAGAGAAATTAAGTTAAAAATATGTTGTCATATAAAATAGTTATTAGATGATTTTTGAAATATTGAATGTATTTAATTGATTGAAAGATTAAAACTAATAATTTGGAAAAAAGTTGTAAAAAGAAACGGAAGTACGTAATAAACTTATTTTTTTATTCAAAATATTGGAATATTTATGATTTTATCATTCCCCCTTTTACATTACATTTACTTTATAAGATAGTACTTCATAAGCTTACATGTAAAAATACCATTAAAAAGTTTAATAATACCCTTCTTGTTATTTTAAATATATTTTAACACATTTTTTTAATAAGAATATTTACTTTTTATTCTTTTATTTATCTCTTTAACGAGATCCGTTATTTAAAAGGAAAATAATTGTTATTTTTAAATATATTTTTAACATATTTTTAATAAAAATATTTACTCTTTAGCTCTTTAATTAAGCTTTTTAACTAGACCCATTATTTAAAAGGAAATTAGTTGTTTCATATTCTATTTTAAGATAGAAAAAATGAAAAAAATATAAAATAAGTATAAAAATTTATATTTTTTTAATCTAAATACGTTTTAGTTGCATCTTATTTTAAGTACCTTTTAAATAAAGAATTTAATTAAAATAGATAAATAGTATAACTTTTTTATATATTGTCATCTAATTATATTATAAAGAATAATTTTTTAGGATATTTAAATTAATAATTTGTTAACTTCAATATTTAAAATTGAATTTTAGAATTAATAAATAAAAAATTTATTAGACTTTATTTTTAATATAATGAATATTTTATACAAAAATATTTTTTTTAAATATTTAAATCAGTCCTTGTAATTAAAATTAACAAAAATTTAAAATTTATATTTATTAATGAATTAACAGGGTAGAGATTTTTATGCTTACGTATAAAAATTAAAATTTTCAACCAAAAGGTTGAACACTTTTCAGTTTTTAGTAGTTTCTAGTAAATTTAGAATCCAAATCAAAATCAGCATTAAGTACATAGAAGAAGAAACAGATGATAGTTGTGATTGGTAGTTGACTAGTTGGTCATTTATTAAGCTTTTGCACGTTCTTTGTTGGTCTTTGGATAAACTTGTGATTCCATAGCACATTTCCTCATCATTCTCTCTCTTTGCTTTGCTTCAATCGCCCTCTGCTGACTCTGGTTAGTGAATTTCATTTCCTTATATGATGCTGAATTTCGTTTGTTCTATGATGCAATTGATTTGATGTTTCTTGTTGTTTTGATTTTGTGTATCTCTTTTGCTTCATGGGTTTAATTTATCTATGGTGGTTTTTATTAGAGATTAGTTAGGATTGTTAATAGTTAATTAATTCCATAGGCTATATAAGCTCCCTATCTCCTCTTGTAAATCAATTTTTTCATTCATTCACATTAATACAACTTTACCTTTCTTCCATTTAGTTTCTGTTATTTTCTCTGGGCCATGTTTCTTGACAGTTTTCGTTTGTGACTTTCACTTTGTGGGAAGGTAGTGGAAAGAATTTTTTAACGTGGAAGATGGAAGGATTTGTAAGTGATAGACGGGCCATGAAATTTGATTTCCTTTTTTATTGTTAGTAAATCTTCAAATCACTCGTCCAAATTGTATGAATGGCAATTTTAGTCCTTAAAATTTTAAAACTAAAAATAAACTTTTTGTATAAAGTTAGGGCTAATAAGATTTTAATATCTTAGAACTCACTAGGAGATTTTAATACAGTAAGGGATTTTCATTCACAAATATTTGACTCATAATCTAAGGACTAATCTGGGAGTTTACTTTTTTAATCTATGTCATGATATGTTAAAAGCTCTCAATATTTGCGAATGAAAAGAAAAAAAAATTCTGCGATGCCCCCTTTTACTTTTTTGTTTTCCCAATTGTAACTTTTCAAGATTTTGTTTCTGCTATCTGTGATATTGGCTTATCAACCTTTGTTCTGGCTTATCAACCTTTCTGCTATCTGTGATACACGGAAATGTTTGTGTGTGTGTGTGTGTACACACTTACAATTTGACATTTTGGTATTGTTGATCTGCTAAAGTGTTTTCCATGGTGCAAGCTCTTTTCTGATTTTTGTTTTCTAATGGTAGTGTAATTATAATTTAATTATAATCTATCTCATTATACCTTTGGGTAAAATTGATTTTCCTTAATAGGATTTGTTGTTTCAGAATCTTGCCTACTGCAATAGCAATTAATAGTTCAAGCGGGATGTGATTATAATAGTAATGCTAGCAACGTACTCTTTGTAACACACCTCCCATTATTGGTTAAAATTTATTGAAAACTACAAAAATCATGTGGGTCTCACTCTCCTAAATTAATGTTTCTTTCTCATACTCTTTTAGTTTTCAATGAATTTTAACCAACAATGAAGAGTGTGTTGCTAGCATTCCTCGTGATTATAATAGTGCTAAAGTTTATTTGCTTTTATGAAACTAGACTTTCTACTGAGTAAACATTCTACTGGGGCTAGATCTTTTGGATCCGTATTCTGTCAATTTTTTATACTGTACATATATCTTTATGGCAAATTTTCTGAAGTTATATGCTTAGACAATCTCAGATAACTTGGATAGATTTGTTTGCCAATTTTTTCAAAGCATCTATAATCTATGCTTTATGTTGGTAAAGTGATGAGGTTGACATTTGAAGTCTCAATCCTTTTGATACTTTTACTGCTGCACATCTATTTATATGTACTTTTTAGGCCAATTAACTCAATTATCCTGTGCCATTAATGTGGAAAGTTGAAGGTATAATATGATGTAGCTTACTACTTTATTGAGGCTATCAATGATTTTTGGTTAGGTAACTAGGATTCATGCAGTCATTTGTTTTTTATAGTGCCTAAGTAATTTTAACTTTCTTTTTCAATACAGTTATTTTGACCTCTTATGCTTTGTACTGTTTAGTTCATCCCCTTGCTCAGTTGTAAAAGTAGAGACTGAAGGTCACAATGAGATCAATACATATGGGAAAACCAGTTAGAAGTAATTGTATCCCTTAGATCAACTGTTCATTCATATATAATTGTATCACTAATGTACACTGGTACTTGAGAACTTTATATTTTTGAGTGATGGTGACACATGACACATCTTTTGTATGTGGCTTTCAAACTGGAAAGAACCTTGGGAGAATCATACTAAAAAGCTAGCTATTATAGTTTGAGAGGCCAAGGCTTTATGAATCTCACACTAGAATCACATACTTCTAATGTGGGATGGGACTCAAGTCTCATCTTGTAATTGGATCCTAACATCATATCACACTTTGCAGCCTTGGCAGTTGGCTGTGCACTAGCTCCTTTGATTAGTCCTAGGCAAACACTACAATGTTGGCACATCATCACCATTATCCTCGGCTCTGATAAGAACCGTAGGAGAACATACCACTAAAGTTATTAGGTTGTAGTTGAAGAGTTTAGAGCCTTATAAACCCCACACTAAAATCTTACACTTTTAATGTGGGACTCAAATTCCATACCTTGCAATTGGATAGCCATTAGCCAGTGTACATGTACAGTTATACTTGTAAAAGTGTTTGCCAAATGTTAATGTGTAAACAATCGACTGATGGTTACCATCTACCACTTTATCAACCATCTGGTTTAAAAGATAAGTTATTAGGATATGGAGGCAATTATCTCTTCAAATGACACAGGAAACTGTGTTTCTTCTAGTGGGGCAGCTTTAGGGATGAGAAGCCTGCCTCAAGCTATTACTTTGCCAATTTCTTCCCAGTTTCATTCATCCTTGTATTTTTCTTTCTAGTGATATCATCTACCCCTTTTTCTATGGGGGACAAGGACAACCTGTAGGAATGGTTATGCAACATTTATCAAGGGTTGTTCTGTATACCTTGATAATGAATTAAGCAGAGAATGTAAATCACACTGGATTACAGTAATATACTGCTCCATCCGATCCTTTTCTCAGAACCTTTCAACTAAATCATACATATTAAGAAAAAATGTTGCAAGTAGTTAATGTATTGATTTTTGAAAAATTAATTACAATTTTCTAACCCGTAGTGAAGTTAAAGTCAAACTTTATTACTACATCAGTTATTAGGATGTTAGAAAGATTCAATAATGAATGGAAAATATGTGAAAAAATAATAAATGATCATAGAACTTTGTAAATGGTCTTATATTCCGGACCAGCAAAAACCTCTAAAAGATTCTTATAAAAAGAACCAAAGGGAAGACAATAGTACACTAGTATAGATCTTTGCAACTTTTTCTGTATGTATGGTTGATAGTTAAGAATAAAAATTTAACCTTGAGAAATTGTCGACGAAGTGTAGTGGTTCCATTGACTGAGCTTCATAAGATCTATGATTTGAAGTCAAAAGAGTTACTGGCTTTTAGCAGTTCTGTTATGACACAGGCATTCAAACTTTGCTTGGCAGAATGGGGGTTGTACAGATTGAACTACCGGCCAATTGTTTGGTCAAAGAGATGTTGATACCGTGTGTAGAATCAAATCAACCCAATTGCTTATGCTGTTATGTGCAGGCCAAGAAATGACTTGATATCCAACACTAGCTGAGAAATCCAATCGTGTAGTTAAGACTCATAGGTAGTCATTACCAACATAATCGAGTACCATTGATGCAGTGAACTTAATGAATTTAAAATACAGAAAGATTAACTTAATTATTTGGTAGGGATGTTTTGTTTGTGACCTACTGGAATTCTTTGTATTGGATGGTTGTTACAGCAGTCTTAATTTATGAATTTACAATTTGAATATTAGTAATACACCATTGTTTGGTATAAGAGCTATTTTGTACAGTATTTGGTAATGTACTTTTGGTTCTTGTTAGCACAGGAACAATGTCTGATAAAAACACAGCCGAGAAACTTCTTAACAGCCTTGTGGACACATTTGTTGAGAAGCAAAATTCTGTACCATTCATTGAGGAAGAGAGGTCAGACTCAGTGAGTTCCCAGATCAATAGACTGTTTGGACGCCAGAAACCTGTGCACCATATTCTAGGGGGTGGAAAATGTATGATATTTATAAACAATTTACTGTAAAATGTACAGTATTGGCATAAACTAAACCGTATCACTTTTTTTTTGTGCTTTTGAATGCCAAAGCTGCGGATGTCTTGTTATGGAGGAACAAGAAGATTTCTGCTAGTGTTTTAACTGGTGCAACAGTTGCATGGGTGCTTTTTGAATGGCTGAATTATCATTTTCTTACCCTTTTTTGCTTCATTTTGGTTCTTGGCTTGCTTGCACAGTTTCTATGGTCAAATGCTTCTGGTTTCTTTAACAGGTTATTCACACATCCTTACATCTTTTTTTTTTTGTTTGGCCTTAACTTCTGTGAATGTGTCACTCAACTTTACAGCTTTAATTAAGTATAATTTGTTCTTTCTGTTGACAGTTCACCATCTAAAGTACCTCGTGTTGTTCTACCAGAAGAACTCTTTGTGAATATTGCAACTGTGATTGGTGATAAGGTTAACATGGGTTTGAGGTTTCTTCAAGATGTTGCTTGTGGAGGAAACTTGAAGCGGTTTCTTATTGTATGTTCACTTATGCTCATTTTCTTTGATATTGTCATTTATCATTTACAGTCAAGCCTAAACAGGCTTTTCAAGGTGAAATCACACTTTTAGGTTTTGACATTTGTGTTTGTTTCAGTGCTTTTTTTCTCAATCAATTCCTTTTACATTATAGATATTTGTCATGGCAAATGCTTGTTTGACCTTTTCTAATGTGATAGGGTCTATATTGACTTAATGTTGACAACACCACAAAATTCTGTGTGACTCCATTAAAACACCATATTCTATAGACCATCACCATGTTTAGTCTGGTGACTTTCATAGCAGGATCTTCTGTGCCTAATCAGCATAATATAAGTCACTTTAGAGTCGTTTAAGATTGCTTTAATAAAACATGGAAACTAAATTCAGCCAAGGCTTTCCACTGTGGTTTCTCCCTATTTTAAGTCATAAAATTTGTAGGCACAATATATGAAAATAAAGCTATTTAAATATACATTTAGAATTAACAAGAACTCTAATTAAGGGATGCCGTGTAGAAAAAGATAAGTTGCTTGAGGTTGTGGATACATCCAAGTAAACTAAACCTTATGCAGCTGTAGTCTATGAAAGTCATTTCTCTTAAGCTCCATAATTGTAGTGTTGAAACCAAGCAGGGTTGTATGGGAGTGGAAAAAAACTGAAGACCGGTAGAAGGGATGATGGGTACTCTGAATCTCGGGAAAAAAGAATGAAATTTTGATAAATAGGTACATGGATTATTGTTTTAGTTGATTTGGTGTTGTGACAAATTAACAATATGAATGGTTAAGTATCTTGAATTCACAACCATAATGGTGCTTGCTTTTAACCATTTGTGTACCTTAAACAAATTTATATATACATATGCAAAGAAAATTTACATGTAATTTTTCATGGAATTTGTGATGAATGGTCAAAACATCCCCAGGTTGTAGTAGGTTTGTGGGCTGGTGCTGTGATTGGGAGCTGGTGCAATTTTTTGACTGTCATCTATATTGGTGAGACCTGCTTTCTTTGCATCTTTGGATAGATCTACTTTTCTTTTAATTCATATGCTGACCCAAATACTTGCTTATATTAATAAGATTACTGCCTTGTGACCTAGCCATCATGTGTTGTAGTTACAGAAATGCTTTCCTCACAGGGTTAAGGTTGTATCATTTTAGCCTCCCTAGACACCACAATAGGGGAGCCCAGTGCAGTGGTCTATCAGTTTGAAAAATATATTTTCATATTTCAATGAACCCATTGAAATATTTTCTTCTGAAAACATGAACAGTTTAAATTTGGGAAATTTGTAACATTAAAAGTCATCCTTAACTTCCATGATGATTAAAACCTCAATTTTTATGACATCTTGTAGAGATGATTAAAATTTAAAACAGCCAAGCATATACAGTAAAAAGAATCTGCACCATTACTATGTATTAACGTATTGAGATATCTTTTAGGAACTACTACCTCTAGTCCTAAATATAAGACCTTTTGGAGAGTTTGTCATGGTCCTTTTTTCAAGACCTCTAGCAAGTTGTTTCTTGTATTAATTATTCTTACAAAAATACTCTTAGTGGAAACGAAGTAATTAACTAGGTAAAAAGTGAGTAAGACAATGGATTCTAATAATTTTGAGGGTAATTTTAGAAAATTTATTCAAATTGTTGAAAAATTTAAAGCCATTACTGAAATTAACTATCTTAATTCTAGTTTAGTAGTTAAAAGGGTCTTATATTTAGGACAAGAGGTAGTAAGATGCAGGGGTGAGAGTTTTGATGATGACATGGGATGCGTACACAAGTCACACATAGTTAAGTGCTTTCTGATAATTTGCCATCTCAAGAACTGAATCTTAACAAATATTGGCTAGTGTTCATGTCTATTGTTTTGTGGCTCTAGTTTTCTCTAATATTCAATTGGATAACATCTTTTAGAAGTTCTAATGATGTTTTTCCCTTGTAGTTGATTGTATATGTTACTTTATGCTAAAACAATTTTTTTGTCCTAAGGTTTTGTTGCTGCACATACACTCCCAGTTCTCTATGAAAAGTATGAGGATGAGGTTGACAACTTTGTCTACAAGTTCTTTGGTCAGTTACAAAATCAGTATCGAAATCTTGATGCTAGTGTGCTCAGCAGAATTCCCAAGGGTAACTTCAAAGGAAAGAAGCATGACTAGGTTTATCCTTATGATATTAGTTTGTCATTCAATGCCCATCTCTCACACATGGTGGCAGCTTGGAATGGTCCAAGGAAGTAAATTGGGTGAACAAAACATTTGTGCCATATGAATGATAATGAGTGTAGTAAATAAAATAGCATTTATAGTTACTGTTTCTGCTGTTCCTAAATTTGTGATCTTGAAATCTCTTGTAATTGATTGGTCAGGGAGAGAACATTGATGACTGTTGCAAACTTCTGAAGACACTTCAAAGTCAGAGTTGTTAAATGTGTATTTGGACTAGCAGAAACTCATTACATTTCATAAAAACTAGATTAATTTGTTAAAATTGATTAAGTCTTAATGTTAATTTTGTCAGGGTCAAATGTAACAACCAATATTGTTGGCTATATTGTTATTAAGCACTACTCATAACTGGATATCGTTTTGGGTCCTATACATGGGCCTATTACCATGATCCATAATGTCATGGAGATTACTTTTTGCACTACTTATTTTATTAATTATACAATTTTTTAATTTGAAATTTAATTTTTGAAAGTATATTTAATATATTTTGAAAATTGGATTTCAGAAGTCATTTATAAATTATTTTCAGAATTTATTTCTAGAATATTTTTTCTTTCAAAATTTAATATTAGAAGTGATTCACATCAGTTTTATAATTTAATTTCTTGAATATATGAAACATATTTTTGAAAAATAAATTTTGGATGTGACAAAAAATGGTAGTTTAAATAGCAAAAGAAATGGCGCAAAAAAAATGTCATATATGAAAAGGCCAAAAAACTTGTCATACTTTAAGGGAAAGGACCCTACTCTTTTTGGACAATTGCACTTTGTTTGGTATGCATGGAAAGAGAAAGAAGAAATTTACAAAGATGGAAATAGATAAGAAAAAGAATTATATTATTAATACTTTCAAAATTTTCAATAAACAAGATTTTGTTCATTCCTTTAAGAAATGAAGAAAAATCCTTTCCTCACGTCACTATATCTCTCCAATCCTTGTCCCTTTTATTTCTTTTCACTTCTGAGAGGAAGTCATGAGGTAAAATTAAGTTACACTGATTTAAGTTACACTTACTTTTTTATTTTCAATAATTTAATATAGAAAATAATATTTTTTATTTAATTGTTGAATTATAATTATATACTAATATTATTTATGTTAAATTTTGTCAAAATTGAACAACTAGAATTGTGCAATTAAGAAGTCTTTATTTTCACATATTTAAAACATATATATTACGTTAAATTTGATACATATAATTTATATGATTAAAACTTTTAATTTAATGCTTAATTTTAAAAATAAATTATCCAACAAAAATTTATAAAAGTAAGTGTAACTTGTGCGATTGTGGTTTGATCATCTCGTGTATATAATATATATATATAAATTTTGGGCTGATAACAGTATGACGACATCTCATGGAAGGCCTCCTTGTGTGTTATCATTAAACCAAAAAACTCTCACAAGAAAGGGACTAATTAAATTTCATCCTTATATCAATACAAATTTCATTCATATTCATATACCAAATAATATGTTCTCATTCTAAATTAAGATTCCAATGCTTTGTAAAATGAGCAAATCATTTGGGTCCACACACAACCAAAGATACGATAAAGTTATATTAAGGTGAAACTTAAATTATACAAAAGAATATATGCACCTAAGTCTAGCTTTAGAAATTAGAGCCACATAACTCTCTGAAAAGTCATGAGAGAAATGAACAAACACACACTTTACCTTTTCTTTCTAGCCAAAACCACAATTGACCAAAACATGTCTCTTGAAGAATTTTTCCTTTGGACCTCTACATTCACCTTTATGGCAAGATTTTTAGTATATCCAAGTCATCTATGTGCATGCGACGACAGCACTTAAGCGTGTGTGAAAATTCACAACTCCACATGTTGATTGCTCTCTACAACAAGAAGCCATGAGCCTTGCACCCTCACATTCCACTTGGTCAAAGTGTATGGATACAACCCTAACCAGATCATCCACTACCTTCTTTACAAGCATAAAGGATTGTCAATCTAACAAGAAAACAAAAAAAAAATGTTCCTTAATGCTAATAGAGAAAAAGACCACAGAAAACAAAACTTTATTTCAGAAACTATAGATCATTATAATTTATAAGCTGTTGTATATAATACCATGAAAAGGAAGGCTATGACTCTGAACCACATCCTTTTCAGTACATTATTTTATATGGGATCCCCCTGAATGATCTGAGTCTCGCTTCTTATTTAATTAGTTAATCATATTACTCATTTAGTATATATATCGCATATAAATTTATGTAATATTAAAAAATCTATTTAAAAAAATATGATAAAGAGTTTTTAGACTTACCCTAAACCCTATATATATATATATATAAAAACAAAGATGGAAAAATATGGTAAAGAGTGTATTAGCTTGTATCATAAATTTTATTCTTATAATTGGTTTTCTAAAGTTTTGTTTTATACCTGCCTTTTATTAAAAAAAAAAAAAAAAAGAGGGAGAAAATACAATTTTTAATTTCTTTTAGATCTAGATCCCTCCTATAGATATGATTGTAGCGGAGAGAAAGAGGATAACTTTTATCAAATTAGAATTGCCATAATTAATTGTAGGATGTACTAAATTTTTTCCCTCATCATTCCAAAAATGTCTTATTATTAAAAAAAAAAATCTATTTCATATTCTCTCTCTCTCTCTCTCTCTCTTATTTTTCATAAAAAAAATACAAAGGAATTTTTTTGTTGTGACTTTTTCATTGTATAGGATCTCATCTGTCAAAATTATATTAAATAATATACTTTGATATTTCAATGATCAGATTAATTTAACACTACACCTCTTTATATTAAATTTTATACTCGAGAGAATCTCAGCTCATAGAAAAAGTAATAAATTTATCAAATATTATTTTTTTATTGCATAAAAAATAGACTAATTTTCCACGTATAAATGAGTCGAAGACACATGACTTCATACAGTCAACCAAATCAGTTCACAACTAGTGTAGTTTGTGATACAATCCGTGTCCCACAAACACTGCAATATGGTGGTTTTCTTTGCCAACATAAAACCTGTTTTGCCTTTGTTTCTCAAAGGCAATGACTGGTCTTCAGCAACTGAATTTTATCGTTACCAACATGAAGGGGATGATGATGATGACGATGATGACGACAACGGGGTTGACATAGCACCGGCAGCATAATGAATTCATTTGAATGAGGTGCTGCAAAATTTGAAGAAAGTTACTTTAGCGTTTGTGTTATCAATCTCACGCATGCTGCACTTATATGCATATGTTACATGGGGTATTAATCTACATATATTGTAATTTGTGTAAGCTTCTACAGACTTGCTTACACTATAGTCACTGATATTTACATATATAAAACATAATATAGTACTGTTTAGTGTTTTGGTTACTACTTCTATCAGTTTTAACTGATATTTATATTAGTATATTAATATGTTATATATGTAGTTTCATTAGAAAGACTTTTTCTATCTCTAACAATAACGTGTGGGTTCCAAGGGCAAACTTTAGATATTTGATTTGAACTTTATATAATTAATTGTAATCGTTTCCTATATAATCAGCTTATCATTTTTTAAGTTTCATTACCAACAAAATCAGATTTCAGGAGTTATATAAGCATAGCATATGTATATATATCTAGGTAACTTCCACATTTTTGCCATTTCTTCCATCATAAAGACATAAACATTAACAATTTCACATATATACAAGCATGTCTTGGGAATAAAACAAGGGTTCACTTGCTTAGCCAATAGAAGAGGGGTCTGCTGCCCGTAGGGAAAGAGCCCAGGACACAAACCAATGAGTAAAAACGATAATCTAATAAACAAAACTATAAGAAGCCAAGCCCTTGGAAAAATAGAAGACTTTTTTTTTTTTTTGTAATAAAAAACAAGGGTGTTTTATACACATACAGCAAAAATACAAGACTAAATGGTTAAGAATACCACGAAGTCCCTATTAGGTGACACAATTTGATCATACAAGTTATGTAAGGGCCAAATTTTTTTCATTTGGATGATAAAATAAATGATCAACTAATATTCAAGTTGAGAGTAGAGACAACCTTAATTGGCTAAGCTAACTCGAAGTTTAAATTGGAGTTACTGTATAAGGACTAATCCATGTATCAGTTATTGATATTGATCACATGTAATACAGTGTGTTCGGCTTATAGTAGTTGTAACTGATATTTACACAGCATGCAATATATGATACTTCATTACTGTGTGCTTCTTTCTCTCTCTTTGACTCCATATATATTTATGTGGATACACATAAATAACTTTATTCGTATATAAGGATATTAATGTGTATGTATTCTATAAGCTCAATGAATTAATTACTTTGTGCAAGTAATGCATAAAGTTGAAGACATAAAGTAATAACAAAAAAACGAGGCTAACTATGAATGTTTTGTGGTTAATTAGCATCATCTTCATGCTTTTTATTTCTTCATATTGCCCAATTAATTTTACCTTCTACTTGACAATGCTTTTTGTAAAACTTAATCTTATGTTTTATATGATTTGGCTCATCTATTGCTTGACTCAAATGTAGAGGCCGGGGGAAGGTAAGAAGCAGGACAATACATTAAAGCAAAATAGTTATGAGTACGTACTCTTTTGTCATTATAATATTAGACTTCAAGAAAATTAGAAGTGGGAATTTTTATTTACACATGAAAGACCTCGCATTGCAGATCTGGTCCATCTATTTGTTGTTAGTAATAACTGATCCTCAGAGAATACTAAATAAACATTTAATATTTTTTCATTAATACTCTCATAAATAGGAACAGTTCTTACTAACTAATCACTACAAAACCTCTAATATTACTCTAAGAGTAGTTTTTACCATTTAACTACTGTAATAACTTTAGTACTTATTTATTTTAGTAATTTTTGAGAAATTAATTTATTTTATTCTAATAGTTATATCTCTTATTTATCATTTTATTTTTTTTACCTATCAAATAGTAGATGCAAAAAGTAAATAAATAAAAATAAAAAAATTAAAATTTAAATGAGAACATTTTAATCAAGATTTAAGAAAGTTATATATTATTTAAATATTTTTAATCTTGATATAAAATATTAAAAGAAAGAGAGATAGAGAATAATAAAATTAATCATTTTCTTAATATATGTATATTAATATATTAAATATCTAAAGTGAGATGGTTGAAGTAATATTAACATATATCAATGGGAGTATATATATATATCACACGTTATAAATGATATAACATTATCTATTTATATTCACTTATCCTTTTTTTTTTCTATACTTTTTAGATGTTTTAAAATAGTTCTAACTCTTTCTACGATTATATCTGAAAGTGAATTTCCACTGTTTATAGGTTTTGAAAAATGTTAATCGTTGTCTTAAAATAGTCGTTAAAAAATTAAAAATAAATTTTTATTAGAAAACATTAACTATATTTATTTACATGATTCTTAATATAATTTTAAAGAAAATTTATTATTTATTAATTTTTAAAAAGGTTTTTCAGGACACTAGTTAATAAAACCCTATTTTATGAAAACTTCTACTTTAACACAACCTTTATCTTTAACGCGATATTTTTTGAGGTATCATTGGAACAAATAATATGATATATATTAAGTACTAATTTTGGGGTAGACAAATATATATTCATTGTTTTTCTGAATATAAACTTTTATATGTATACTATTTTGTTTTTTTTTTAAATAAGTAAATCTTGTCATACATAGAATACCTTGAAACTGACCAAACTGAGCTAACACTGATAAAACAAAACACCGACCTGCATGTGAACCATAAAATATTAACAATAATTTGGAAATGAAAAAGAATAATAACCTTTGAAGAAAATAAAAGACAAAATATAACTTTTATTACATCCAGCATACTAATGAAATGAACTAAGGCTTATTCCTAAAATAAATTCTATTATGCAATATAACCAAAGGGACCATAATACTACATGACAAGCATGATCTAACCTATTTGCTTATATAGCTCCTTTTAATTTGCCTAAAAAGAAAGGGACCATACTACTACATGCCAAACAAGATTACATGCTTGCTTAGCTCCTTTGCCTAGAAATACACCACCATATGGCAAATAAAGATTTGGAAGATTAAAGGGTAAGACAATGGAAACCAAACAAGGCAAAGACTTTAATTCACACCCCAGATTTGCAAAACCTGACAAATGGGAAGCATCTTCAAATTCTCCAAGCATAGGACACACCTCTCATCCAAATGAGAAGAGGCAACATAATTACTTTTCAGATTTGATTTGGCAGGAATTCTGTCTAGAAACAACAACAAATAACATCATGAACTTCTTTGTTTAAACAAGATTATTTATCCATATATTGTTAGCCAATATAATAGAATTCTATACACAAACAGTTAGCTTTTTCTGTCCTATAGATGGAGGGGTAACAGTAAATGAAATTTGGATTATATATCCGCACCAGCTAGCACAGAAAATTGGCCAATGACTAATAATAAGAATTGGTTTTGGAAAAAAAATTGTATGATTAGTTAATTGGAAGATTTTAGATAATATGATGAAATCATTTCGGAATGCCTAAAAAATTTGATAGTTTAGATTAGAAAAATGTACTATTTTCTGGTTATCTATTCTTGTAAATGATAGTCCTATGGAAGAAGTCAAGATTCATGGGAACTTAAAACAATGATTCTTTAATGCTATTTTTTATTTATCATTGGTGGTTGAAGGTCTTTTTAATCTTTTGCAAATTGCAGGGCCTTTTAAAACGTGATTATATTGGACTTGGATGAATTTATGGTCAGCTAATGAAATAGTTTATAATTTACATAAACATTTTGTTAACTTGTTATAATATTTTTTTTTTTTGGAATAACTTATCCAAATAATATATTATTTTTATTTTATTTTAATAAATTTTATATTTAAATTTAAAGTATAACTCATCATTTAAAAAAATTATTAAATAAAAATTTAATTAAACTTTGTATCTAGATGTGCATATTTTTTTTTTCCTACCACACGAGACCAAACAACCTAACAAGCTACACAATCATTTTAGGAAAAACCAACCTAATAAGCATCTTCTTTAAGAAAGGAAACAAGTTGCAAAGGGATGATGTAGAATATTTTCAATCCTTAATTTGAGTTAATACACTTATTAACCTCTATATACATATAAGAAACAAATAATTCTATAAGATTGAATCAATATATAATCCTTAGAAACTAGAGGTTTAAGAAACAAATAATTTTACGAGATTGAATTAATGTATAATCTTTAGAAGCTACAGAGTTAAGCTTTGTGACCCTTAGCAATATTTAACTTTATGAGTTAAATTGTTAACTTAAAGTTTATTTTCACTACCACCTTATCTATATTTTGATATCTAATTAAACGAAGACCCAAAATCAGAGTTCATGATTAAGCCATAATGGCTGAACATGGACTTAAATTGTTGAAAAAACCTATAAAAAATTCTCCATATTCATTTTTAATAAGTTTCCACAAGTTTCTTTCTTCTGCTCCCTACAAATAAAGTCATTCATATTTATCTTTAACTTGTTATTCCAAAAAGGGTGTCATCCAATAATAAATTCTCTGGTCTATATATATTGAGATGGTATTAACTAGCATTAGGATTGAAAGCCAATGTTTTCAAAAGTAATGTTTCTTGGAGGCAGCATCCTTGTTCCTTAATTGCAATATCATGAGCATCCTTTTTAATGTCTCCCGTTAGAGTCCATCCAAGGAAAGAAAAACAAAAAGTAAAAATAAACACTTGGAAACCATTATTAGCACTTTTATAAAGCAGTGTTTTCTGGCAAGCATTTGTCATTAAAGAATTGTTCTTATTAACTCAATTTTTAAAACCTTACCAATATATATATTATCTTAGTTAAAATTTTCAAGAAACACTCGTGAAAATCAGTACCAATATTTAAAATAATTTTCTTTGAAGAAGAGTGGAGGATTGAAAGAAAAATGCTTGAATAAATGGAAAGATTGTTGTCAAATGAGGATGTTGTGTGTACACCATGTACAACCTTGTAGTACTATTGACAAATATTTTCTTCCAAGTCTTCATGATCACATTAAGGCATTAGCTTAATTAATTTAGATCCAATGTGAATTCCTTAGCAATATATGGTTGAGATCCTAGCTTATTAACTTTTTTATTTCATTAAAATCTAATTTTCATTATAAACTGAATAAGGTGGGTTATTGAGACTCATGACCCTCATGAGTCAACCTAGACAGTTTACAATAAAAGCTGGAAATTTATATTCAATACACTCACTAGATTGATTACCGCTCATGTATTGATATATTTGCTATTTATAGAGCTTAAATATTCTTTTTATATGCATGTACAATTAGTTAATAGGCACATTTAACATTTTGGGTTAAGTTCCCATTATGCATTCACAAGAGTTATTTAATGAATTTTTTTAACGCGTCAGAGGGTATATATAATAAAGATTTATGTATAATAATTTTTTTATTAAGAGTTATATAATATTATTAGATCTAATATATTTATAACATTAATTGTTATAATTTCAATAAAAAATTGTTATATATTTACATTTATGTTAATTTTAACTGTTAGAGTTAAGTTTAAGTATTTAAAAATAATATTTTTATTGAAAAATATTACATTAAAGATGTAAAAATATAATAAATACTTTTTAAAATAAATTTTTATTACATTTAAATATTCCTGTTTAATTTTAAAAGTTGAAGTTAATAAAATCGATATATTTATTAATTTTTTATCATGTATCTTTAAACATATGTTAAAAAAAATTTGTATATAATAATAATAATAATAACTATTAAAATAATGTATTTATGTGGCACGTACCTGCTAGAAGAAAGGCAAGAGTATATTAAAATAAAGTATTGGTTTCTATCAACAGAGTATATATGAGTGATTCGTTCTTTATGATCCTTTACCTTAATGGAATCTGCTCTGCCTATAGATGTTGCAAGACCATGATGATGATGATGATAATCGGGGATCGATAAATTAACCTTCAATTTTGATTATAATTTTATGTGAGCTTTTAATTATTAATCACTTTTGTAATATAAGAATTCTGTATTCCATTAAATTGATAGGTGTTGATGGAAAAATTAGATTAGAAAGTTTTTGAACAAATTAAGATAAATATATGTCCAAATTAATTTTAATTTATATTATAGAAGATTAACTGGCATAATGAAAGAAAACTTCCAAATGATTATTATTAAATTAGAATATAAATTATTAAATTGTTGATTTTATTATTACATTTGAAAGCAAGGTCGCTAATTTTGTAACAATGCTTATCAAATTTTAGGAGTAAATAAGTTGATACATTTTATTTAATAAGATAATGCTAAAGAATTCGCATAGGTTAAAGTAAATATAATAGGAATGATATAGATAGAATTAATCAAATATTGAAAGTAATTAACCATGTTGTAACACCATGTTAACTAAATAAATATGTATAAATGAAAATACTATTGAAATATATATTACTAAATTGTTTATTTTATTATTAAATATATAATAATATTTATCTATGTATGCATTAAAGTTCTACTAAAATGCAAAGATATTTTTTCTTAATTTTTATTCTTTTAAAGTTTTTAGCTTTATTTTTTTCACTTATTTCATCTTTATATTTTTTTTTATCTTTTGTATTTAATTCTTTTATAAATAATTTTACAGTTTTTTATTATTTTTTGGAAAAACTACAGGCACAGTAAACTTTTAAGAAATTTAAATTTTTTATATAAACCTGTCCATCGTATAGGCACAAAATATAATTTAATATATGTGTAAAGCAAATTGTATTAAAATTAAAATTTATAAACTTCATACTGATAGCTAAAAGAGTTTTGATATTAACAATTAGACAAATGGAATTAACTAAATCTAAGTTATAGTATTTGACATGAACAATAATTATTAAAATATAAGTGTAACATAAAAAACACACATAATTAGTTAAATAAATTAAAAAAAGGGTTTAGTCTCAAGAGTACAAATTTAAATTTAATATACAAAAACTAATTTTTGAACCTTAATTTTGAAAGTTATATTGGTGCACAAGACTGCCAACGTGTCACAGATAAGGGATGAATCTCAAACTAGGAAGTGCAAAATGTCAAAGATTTGAAACATTATCGTATGTCCACAAGTAATCTTGCCACTTCAAAGGTTCAGTGTCCACCACATTACAATGACCCGCGTGTACACTTTCAACGCCTTCATTTTGAAAACCATCACAACTTCTGATGCACTATCAAAGTTTATCTTTTTTTTTCCTGCCCAGATTTTTTCTTCAATTTCCAAGGAACATCTTGATTCTTAGTTGTTATCCCCATATCAAATTTTTTCAATACTGTGTTAAAAATTGTGTCTTTTTCAATTCCAATAAAATTTGGATGGTTTTGCTTTTTTAATTTCATACCCGTTATTGGATTTTTGCTGTTTTTTCTTGCTCCATGGCCCTTTATATAAGCAATGCTTGTTTCACTGTTATGGGTCACTCTAGATTTCACAGAACAAGAGTTTTTGCTTCTGAGGGTTCTTCTGCTACTCTCAAGACAGTGGTGGAAGAGAAGATGAAGTTGGGTGGTTCTGATTTGAAGGTGACAAGGCTTGGAATTGGAGCTTGGTCTTGGGGTGATACCACTTATTGGAACAACTTTGAATGGAATGGTAACTCTCTCTCACAAACACTTTATCAATGATTGAGGTAGTGAGTTGCACATATCAAGAAAAAATTTTTCAGGGTTGGTGTTATATTTGTCAACAAATTTTCTAACATAAAGTATGTGACTGTTGGATTGTGCAACAATTGCCATCCATTTGGTGGGGTGGGAAAGTTGACATCAATTTTGGGATTGTTGCTTTCTTTGTTAGTTGTGAGTGACTTGTGACTTGAAGGGGTCATATTATTTGCTGTCTGATTCCAAGTTTAGGTATATAGCTTCTGAACCATAATTGGCGGCATTTGTCTAAAGGGGAAAAGTGTGTAAATGAAAAAGTGAAAGAATATTTGGGAGTGAGATTTTAGAAGGAAAGAGAGAGAGTAAAAATTTTTATTTTAAGATCAAGAGAGTTGTTCTATAATATTTATAAAGATAAACAAAAGATTAGGACGTTAAGTTTATGTTAATTTATTTTCTTAAAAAGTTATTAAATTAGAGAATATTTATTAAAAATAAAAATTTTACCCTCCCTTCCCTTTTTCATTTGAAACTTTACTCCTATACATATTCTAAGGGTACATCCACCCTTGATTTGAAGTGTGTTAAGTTTATAAGGTATTGAAAGTTGAAACTCTAATTATGGGTGGATAGTGGATGCCCTTATCATTTCACTTTACATGTTTTCTTACTCTCTAATAGTATGTATCTTAGGACAGAATTGAAATGCCATGTCAATGTTGTAATTATAGTATTTTTTACATTTATAAACATTAATATATGAGCACTATAGCATAGTTGGTTGTGAGACTGATGTACTGATGTGAATGGTGGAAGATTTCTGAGTTGAAAACATACTAGCAAATATAACAAGTGTTCATAGCATTAAGGTCTGGGTGACACATAGCAATAATTAATAAAAGAAAAGGTGGAGAAAAGTGACTGTGAAAATAAGAATTGATTTGGAAGGAATTCAAATACTTGATTTCATAATTTGCAGTTTTGCACTAATCATCTCCAACATAAATAATGATGTCTATCTTAGAGAACAAATGAAACTAGAACAAGCACATTTCAGTCCATGAATACCCTTATCACAGTTCTTTGATGCTGCTCATAGTTCCAAATTGAATGTCTGTAATCAATCTCTCTTACTTATTTAAAGCTTATATCTAGCAGTGGAATTTATAAGCTGGTAAACTGAAATCGAAGAAAATAACTAAAAAGATCTAATATAACATAGGAGATCTGAGAAAAACTTTACTGCATATAGCTAGCTGCTATTCAACCACCGCCACCAGCTTACTATGCTTACTTTCTAAACTTCCTTTATAAATCGATATCCATTACAAATTTTTTCCTCATCAGTATTATTTATTTGTTGGAGATGTAGATATTCAAATTTAATGTCTATATTCTTGGTAGTCGTGATAACAAATTTTTTATGAATCTTGAAACTGATTTTATTACAAAGCTTCTATTTGTTTGTATTCTCTATAGAAACTTTATATGTTCTTGTTTTAAAGACATTTTTTAATTTTTACTCATTGTGTCATTAGAGGCTATAATATATAAAAGTTGCAGATTTGAGACACCATCAAGTGGCTTTTCTCTCAGATATTTTGAATGATGTTTAGAGTTTGAAATAGCTTCTAAATGGACAATGTGAGATTGTGAATGTATTCATTTTTGGCTCTGTAATAATTGTAGATAGGAATGAGAAAGCTGCCAGAGATGCTTTCAATGCCAGTATTGATGGAGGTCTAACTTTTTTTGACACTGCTGAAGTCTATGGCTCAGGGGTGAGTTTTTTTTTTTTTTCCTTCTTTTTCTCTAGGTTTCTTTGACAAGTGTAAAATTCACCAAAGATGTTCTTTTTTTCAGCTCGCTTTAGGAGCCATAAATTCAGAGATTCTTCTTGGAAGGTATGTGCTTATGTTTTTGGTATAATTTTCATATGCAGCTTCTAATGAAAAAAGGTTCACATTGATGCTTTGATATGTTTGTTATCTGAAGATATATTAAGGAAAGAAAAGAATTGGATCCAGATGTTGAGGTTGCTGTAGCAACCAAGTTTGCTGCACTTCCATGGAGATTCGGCCGTCAAAGTGTTCTCAATGCCCTCAAAGATTCCCTTTGTCGACTAGGACTGACTTCAGTTGATCTTTATCAACTTCACTGGTCTGTATTTTATGAGCCTGTTGAATGACATTGTTTTTATGCAATACTATGTTGATAAACTAGTGTGCTGTTTTTCAGGCCTGGAGTGTGGGGAAATGAAGGTTGTCAAGCATAGCAAAATTATTTCATTGAACTACATATTTAATATGGTTAATGGAGTCAAATTTATGTTTATTTATTCGTGATTAGAACAAGTAAATTCTTAGTTCTCCAATGAATTACTTTTCAGGGTATATTGATGGTTTGGGGGATGCTGTTGAAAAGGGACTTGTAAAAGCTGTTGGTGTTTCAAACTATAGTGGTAATTCTTTATGACTATTAGCTGTCTTGAAAACTTCCTAAACTTCAGATCTTCAATATTCTGCGAAACCATGATTCACTTCTACCAAAAATGGCGATTTTCCCTTAATGTAGATCATTTCAATGTACCAGGATGAATGTTTGATATAATAGTCTAAGCATATGTTAGTAAGATCACAGCTAGTTTCATAATTATTAAGGTGTATACCAAAAGAGGAATATATAGAATCCGATAATGCTTTGATTAGTTAGTAGCAGAATCAAGAATTGGGTAGGTTCCTAATTTTCCTGTTTTTGTAGAGAGACTGTGGAAGAGTTCTACTGTTTCTGTTCAAACCTGCCACTGTTATTGATATACAATATATCTGTAGTAGAATTTCAATAAATAGTGTTATTTAGCTAGTTCTGGCCCTGTTCTATCAACATAAATATTTAATATCTATTTTTCTCTATTAGAAAAGCGACTCCGTGAGGCTTACGAGAAGCTCAAGAAGAGAGGTATTCCATTAGCTTCAAACCAAGTAAACTACAGCCTCATATATCGGGCCCCGGAAGAAAATGGTGTAAAGGCTGCCTGTGATGAACTTGGGATTACATTGATTGCATATTCACCGATTGCACAAGGTGAGCTCCTTTCCACTATTGAATATTTATTATATCCACATTTTATTTTTTATTAAGTTTTACAACACATATTTCTGCCAAAACCTCAATTGGTGTAACAAAATAATATTTATGGTCTAGCACATTATGTTTAGTTACTTAAACATTGCATAATTACATTGGGTTGACAGAAACTAGAGACAAGAAAACCTTTTGCACAAAACAGGCACTTGATCTTTGATGCATGAAATAATGAAGAACCCTTCTATGTTTTATGTCTTATTTAAGGCCAATTTTTGCGTGAGCTGAATTTTTTTAATTTTGAGAAGGTTGTTAAACTTAAGAGTTCAAATAAACTTGGGAAGGATGAGTAAACTTGCCTTGTAATTTCACTAAGAGCTAACCTACTTGAAAGACAATATCTAGAAAACGTATCATAGTGCCAAAACGTAACGAGCATATACATAGTATTATATTCGAGCTTCATGAAATGAAATCTGTTTGTACCCCATATTCTTATCTGAAACAGATGTACTTATCTAATATATTCCAATTCCATAAAATGAACTTTGCTATAAATATTTATGCAATATCCTTATCTTAAACAGGTGTTCTTACTGGAAAGTATACTCCTGATAAACCACCAACTGGGCCTCGAAGCAGAATTTATACTCCAGAATTCTTGACAAGGGTACTGATCTTGTGAAATTGCAGATCTAATTACTTGCATTCACATTACCTATTCCCTCAAATGTTTATTTATTTTGCAGCTCCAACCTTTGCTGAACAGGATCTCTGAAATAGGAGAGAAATATGATAAGACATCCACGCAGGTTCATACTTGTTCTTTTGTTTTTCATTATATTAGTTGAAGATTTGAAATATTGGTATAATGTTTGTGTCAGCATTCTTTAATAATATAGTGAAGACACTACCTGAATACCAGAATCAGAAACTTACAAGATCAAGATATATTTTTCATACTTGATCCTTATGAGTTGTGAATTTGTCAATGGCATGGTTTGGATAAACTTCTCAATAAATACTTGTATGAAAAGAAAATAAGATAAAATCAATTACAATTTTCCATGAGTTAAAATCAGCTTAAGGCATCAACTCTTTTAGAAGTTCTTTTATCTAACTTCTCCAAAAGCTGATATGCATAAATTGATTTTAACTAATGAGAAAATTTTGGTTCATTTTATCTCCTCATTTTCTTCTTCTACAAGTGCTTGTTGAGAAGTTTGTCCATACTCCATACAATCTCAACATATGATACTTATCCACAATTCAGCCAAGCCTCATAATACAAAATTTGTTGTATTGTATTCAGTGATCAGCACAAAAATCTTTCTAAACACATAAACATAAGGCATGTCCAATGGTTTTCATTTTAATTGAAAGCAACTTTCATCACATGCCAAAGTACTAAAGGTTTCTTTTTCCAAATAACCTTCATGAATGATTCCTTTTGCCCCTTTTCCTAGGCCACTTTTGATAATGAAAAAAAAGCCAAATGATTCTTGTCAGGTATCCCTGAACTGGTTGGTAGCAAAAGGCAACGTTGTGCCGATTCCTGGGGCTAAGACAAAAGAACAAGCTGAGGAATTTAGAGGGGCACTTGGGTGGAGACTAACTGATGAAGAAGCTGCTGAGCTGCGAAGTTTGGCTTCAGAAATTAGGCCTGTTGTTGGTTTTCCAGTTGAGAACCTCTAAAACATAGTTTAGCACCAAACATTTGCACCATGTACCTCCTAAATCAATTGTAAAGTTATTTGGTTTAGCAAAAGGGAAAAAGAATCTGCATATGTAAGAAATTTCAAATTGTGAATGAATGGTATATTAGCCTACTTACTTAATTGAATGCAATGAAGCTGCAAGATATGCATTGCAATGTTGGTCACTTACAACAATTTTCTTATTGATGAACTTGTACTACCAAACATGTATTCCTACTAACAATTCAAGAAATTAACACAAGCAATTTAATAATATCATGTGCAAAAGAGTCCAGAATTTGAGATTGAAGAATGTTGAGTTAAATGGAAAAATTAAATTCAATGAGGATTTGGTTCATCTTACACGTACACGTCATGGGCATCCTGCTTTTCTATGTTCTATAAACTTGTATGTAACTATTGAAAGTGACGATATTATACATAATGTGATTATTCCACCAAAAAGTTTTTTATTAGTTCAAAATGATCAAAGAAAAGAGAAATGCTATATTTATTATTTATCATTACATGTATAAATGGGAGAGTTATTATATTAGGAATTGTTTGATTTTATAAAATATTTCTGTATTTACTTTTATAGGAAACAACAAAAATAACATTTTTTCTATTTTTATGTACAAATTTTTTAAAATATAAAATAAAAAGTTAAAAAATTAATGATTAAAAATGAAAATAAAAATGTTTTCTAAAACCAAACAACTCAATGCTCAAGAAAATTTAATACCAAATGAAGAAGCTTAAACAATTTATCTACCCATTAGAGCATTGGGAGCATGTTTGTCATTGAAAAAGGACTAAAGAATAAGCTTGAATGTTTCTTCACCGATTTTTAAATTGTTATTTAACCTTCAGATACAATCATTTCATTTATTTGAATACCAAAATGCTCATGAATTGTGGTTAATTTGTATTATAATCTAATAAACATCGATATAAATTTTATCTAATTTTTCATTATTTTCATTTACTTCTTTTTTTTTGTCTTTTCACACATCTTTAATTCTGAATTATCTCTAATATAACAATTAATAGACAAAATCAAATATCAATAATATCCAAAATCTTGCACATGAAACTAGGAAAACCAATGTTCAAGTGCAAATTACTATCATATCTTAACTAATGACTGAGTACTTTAACAATTCAATGTTCTTATGTTCTTAAAGTTTGTTATCAGAATCTTGAATAAAATAAAATAAATTATTATATTACAAATATTTTTAATTTGAATATTATTTTTTAAGAGGTAATTTTATTCAAATTAAAAACAATATCTTGAATATATTTCTTTTAATACAAGATTCGAATTCACTTAAACAGTACCTGTACTACCCATTTATCTAAAGATTTTATTCCTAGCAAAAATAAGCATAAAAGAATCCGACACAAGATGAAAGATAAGGACACTTAACCATTGGTTATCCATTAAATAATATATATTTTTTAAAAATTATCAAAATATTTTCTTTATATATATATATATATATATATATATATCATTAAATTAGGATTGTCCTTTTGGTAGAAACACTTGTAGTGGTCTGTAACTGCCATAAACGTCAATTTTTGTTGGTCTTTAATTGTCAGAAACAATTGTCGATGTTTGAAACATTTTCTGATGGCTATAAATGGCTACTTAAAAGAGTTATTGATAACATATTTTGCGGTCTATTTCTTGTGGCTACTAAAATTTGAGGCTTTGGATGGTTATAAACTGCCACATATGCTTTTGGAGAAAAACAATACTCACTTGATATTTTTTTTCAAAACACTATTTTGATATATTATATATATATATATATATATATATATATATATGAAATTAAATTATATTGATATCATATGTTGAATTTGGACATTAATATTACTAAATAAATTTTTATATAATGTGAAATTGATCAATCAAACGGTTGATTTAAAAGTTCTTGTTAAATAAATTAATTTTATAAAAAATTTATAAAAATAAATTAATAAATATTTTATTATATTATTTTATTTAAATATATATTATATTTTTAAAATATAAATAACTATCAAATTTTGAATAACACGTTTTGTTTAAACTGTGAGTAATAATTGTTAATTAGCAATACTAAGTAATATTTTCTACATTAAGTATATATTTTTTTAAAATTTACAAGGGACTAAGGGTTTGATTGTGATTTAGGGTATAGCAATGAACACCATATTAGTAAACAACCGTTGTGAAAGTACTACTAATGCTTAGATCTCCATCGTCATTATCCATTGCAGTGAAATAAGCATGTCGCTTCTTGATCAAAGGTTCTCCAAGAAGGAACAGGTTCATACAATAATCGTCCTTCCAATCTACAATTTGCATACTAAAACCTCAAGCTCGCTCGAAGGATTAGATGTAATTGGGAAAAAGCTTTCTGCCCAAGACTTGTGCTAAACATCAACTTATGCCTCACAAATCCACTGCTACATAGCTTTTAATGGTTTCTGTCAATACAATGATAAACACTCAAGTTAGCAGGTAAGCAACCTTTTCAATACCTTAGGTTTCTTTGACTTAAGCATTCAAGTGTTTCTTTGTAAGAACTCTCACCTGTTCATCTCAATTTATATAGGATATTTTTCATCAAAACAGTATTAGCCTCTCTCACTAGCAAGGTTAAGAAGATGTTGAGGACATGATTAGTTTGGTGACAAAAATAATTTCAATTTCATTGCATGAGAAACATGCTCTTTAGTATACTCTCTTTGATATTTTTTTAATTTATTAAAAATTACAAGAATTATATAAATTTTGTTATGTTTAATGATTTTTACTCTGACTTTATAATTTTCTGATACTTTTATAATTTTTAATAAATTTTAATTAGTAATTAAACATATCTTAATTTTTTTTTTTAAACTCATCTACATGGCAGATGGCATGTTGACAGGGATCAGAGTGAGTCTTATATTTATTAAATATTTTTAATAAAATATTTATTTTAAATAAGGTAAATATTTATCTAATGATAAGTAAAACTATAATTGGTTTATAATTTAAAGTTTATAACTTATAATTAGTTTATTAAATTATAACTATTCAGTAAAAATAGTTCTACAATTAGTTAAAATCTACTAAAAATGATAAGATTATTTTATATGAGTATAAATTATTTTAAAAATTAATAATAAAATAAATGAAATTATTGAAAGTTAACTTCAAATAAACTGAAAGTTAGTTAACTTTCATAACTTCTTTTATTTCTTTTTATTTTGTTTATCAAATGTGTTTGTATTTTTTGCTTATCAAACAACTTTTATCTGTGTGTGCAATGTGTGAAAAATTTACATTTTAAAAATATAAATTTAAATATTTGTACTTTTATATCATTATATTTATTTTATTATTTACCTGATAAGTTTTAAAATAATTTTAAATTTTTACTTTTTCAAACGCAACCAATTCAGTCGCCAGAACATGATGATATGAAAAAAATAAAAATAGTTAGATTGGTCCAAAGATTCACTGTATACTGATCTATATTGAACTCAATCTAATTAAATTACGTGTCAAGTGGCTAAATTTAACTCTTCTAATTTGAAAAAAAAAATTATACATTGCTAATGTTGTTAAAAGTTAAGAGAATAACTTAAAAATATGTTGTAATTCAAAAGAGAATGATCAAATGGTTCAAATCATTCTAAAGTTCAGTATTGAATCACATGTTTTCAAATTCAATACTGCTAATGTTGTTGTGAGGTTAAGACTTGTATATATTGGATCAATTCAAACACTTTTATACTTCAAAAGTTCAAATTTAAGATAGTTTTTACTAATATACATACATTAGAAAGTGATTAAATTTATTAAATTTTATAATAAAATAAATTAATTTTACTAAAATATGGATATTAGTGAAAAATAATTTTTTTATATTCTTCTTGCAGGTATATTTTCCTCGATTAATTCTTCTTGCACTCTATATTTTAATTGCATCAAAATTAAAATTTAAATAAATAAAATCAAATTTATTTATTTTCTAATATATAAAACTTAATTAAAGTGAAAGCCTGTGAAGGTATCATTTTAGAATTTTGAATCTCCACGATTTTATCACAAAAGTAATTTGTTTATAATATTTTATTTTCTTGTATTAAATGGCTTTTGAGCTTATATTTAACTTATGCTTTTTTTAAAAAAAAAATTCTCGTATTTTATTACAAAATGTTCACTATAAGAAAGTATAGCTAGTCTTACAGTTAACCAGAACATTTTTTTTGGTAAGTCATATTAAAAATTAAAAATAATTTTAGACAAATAATAATATATATATATTTAAACTACACATTATCCTCTTAAACAATTAAATGAAAAGAAACAAAAAATAAAATAAAATAAAAAAAAGGAGTAGACTCAGTCCAATCTTGATACAAACCCATTAATGATGAGAAACTCTTCTACTATCCCTTCATGTGTTGCACATAAAACACTGCTTGTGACTCTAAAATATGCTATGAAAATTGCTTTTCACATTTACATAAATTGTTGAGTGACCCAATTAAACAAAGAAAATAATATTGAAAGATCTTTTCGAGTCTTATCAGATCATCAAAGGAAACAATAGTTTCATGCATGTTCTTCTGAGTACAAGCCATGAAGGGTTATATACGAAACCGTACCCATGCAAAATAGAAACCTATGTTTGGTCCACAATTCTCTGCAACACAGCTATCTCTTACAAGTACAGTACTTACATTTTAGTTCTTATAAATAGAATTCAATTTAATTTTAGTTTTTAAACATTTTAATTAACTTTACTAATTATACATTTAATAATTTTTTTTAAGTTCTTCTTATTTAAACAGTTTCTAGCATGTTTTGTCCCGCATCTCGAAGTGGCTAACCTGCATTTTTTTAGAAGCAATTAAGAGTAGCTTATGAATTTTCAACATGTGTACAAGTTATTTTAACTTACATCTAAACATGGACTACATGTTATATTTAATCATGTTATTATGCGAAGATAATGTATATATATGATATAATTAGATGTAACTCATGACATTATTGAGCAGTAATAAAAGTAAGTTTAAACAATATTTTAGTTATTTAAAAAATCTTAATTTTCTTATTTGGTCTCTTATTTTTAATTTTTTAAAAATAAGTCTTTTAAAAATAAAATAAAATATTTATGAGTTCCTTTGTTAGTAATTAATTATTTTATTATTTATTTATATAATATTCAACTTAGTTCATATGATATATAATATATAATTAATATAAATGAAAACATGACATTTATAACTTCATCCTTTTTATTAGGGATGACAATGGGTAGGGTACTATAGTACCCATCCCCATATCCGCGTTTTAAAAAAAATACTCGTATCTGACTCCATACCCATGTGGGCATGAACATTAATCCCAATACCTCTACTCTCTGGGTACCTGTATACCCATCTTGTACCCATTACATGTGCTTGTTTGAAAAAAAAATATTTATAAAGAAAAATATGTTTATATAACTTCACATAAGTAGTATAATAATACAAAAATTCAATATGTAGTTGTCGAATAAGGTATAAACATAGATAAAAAAATAAATATTCAAAGATCATAAATGCTAAATATATCTTAATATAATAATTTTCTAAACTAAAATTTTTAGAAATAATAAGCGAAACTAAACACACCAGTTATTTGTTAGTGATAACCCTATCTTTTGTGAGATTTAGTCGATTGACAATGTCAAAGCGATAACGAAATAGAATTGCACAATGGTTGTCCCTTCGTGTTGAATCACTTGGTGACTTCTTGTGACTGTATTAACAACTAACTCTAATGAATAACGTTTCATAGTTATTAGGTTTTAATGAGACAAATATTGAAAATGAGAATAGAGTTAGAGTAGAGAAGTTCAATACTAATAACAGAAAATGAATACATAAAATATTTTTTTTAACTTTTAAATTTGAAATTGTAAGAAAAATAATAGATTTAATTAAAATAATATAATATTATATATATATATATATATATATATATATTAATACTAGTACTTTTTAACTCATATACTATACCAAAGTATTTTATCAAAAATATAAATTTTTGAAAAATTATTTTAATGAATTAAATATTTATAATGTATATAAATTTTAAAAAAATTAAATAAAAGATAAATGGTCACAATAAAATTTTATAATAAAGAAATATACGTGTATATTAAAAAAAATTATACTTTTTTATCTGAAAAAATTAACAAATAAAAATTAACAATAATTTTTTATATTTATATCTTTTCAAAAACTTCTTTGAACATGAATAAATAATAAGAATAATATTATTTAAATTCAATAGATTATAGTTGTACTTGTAACACATATGTTGCATAGAAAAAATATTATTTTAGATTAAAATATAAAAAATTAATATTATTAATAAATAATAAGTTACGGTAATAGTAGGTGATTGTAAAATTTATAAAATATTTACAATATATTTATTATTTATCATTCACTTTATGATTTAAACATCAATATGATTTTATTAACAAAAATATTTGTGTGAAAAATATTTTATATGTGTCATATATTAATAATATTTTTAAAAAAAATCAATCTCATATTAACTATGTAATAATTAAATTGTATTAGCCTAATTAAATGATATAAAATAGTAAATAAATTTTTCTATTAAAAATATAAATCAAAATAAAGTTTTTGGTTTACTTTATTATTAAATATATTTTTATATTAATCTTATATAACTTCACATAAGTAATATAATAATACAAAAATTCAATGTATAATTGTAGAATAAAGTTTAAGCATATATATATATATATATACGCGGGTATGGGGCAGAGTGGGTACTTAGATACCCATACTTGCACACATCTCCATTAAAATTTGTGAGTTTTTACTCACACCTATACCCTACCCATATAGCGAATAAATACTCTACCCATTGTGGATAAATTTTGAGGGTGTCCATCGGATACTTTACCCATTATCATCCCTATTTTTTATATTCTCAAATCTCTATTTTATAAACCCTAATTTTTTATATTCTCAAATCTCTATTTTATAACTTAAAATTTTATTAAAAAAATAAAATATCGTATTATGTTTTAATCAAATTATACAAGTTAACTTTAGATACTAAGTAAGCAACTAATAAAGCAAGTTAACAAATTTTCAATAGCAGGACTAAAAATAAATCATTTTAAAAATTTAAAATTGACAAAGAATAAAAACTAAAAATCAACAAAGCCGAAGTGGGTAAATAACTGTAATTGTTAAGCATGTTTGTAGGGATTCCATTTTTCACTATGTATATAGAAAAAAAAAATATACTGAGAGAGGCAAAACTCATTTAAGTAATCTCTCTACTTCAAAAAATATAGTAAAGGGATATAGAAAACAAATAAAATATACATCTTAAAAACTTTAGAAAATTATATTTGCAGAAATTAAAAATATATTTAAATGAAATTTCAAATTAACCGTACCAAATTGATAATATTCTAAGTACAACAGTGCACATGTGGAAATTCCTAGACTGCAAAATAAAACAACATAATTTGGAGGTGCATGAGGGCCACATCTTTTTCTGACAACACTGTCTCTTATCATTTCCCCAGTAGAAATACAGCTTGTCCCTGCCAAGTGGCATCATCCTCCATGAAACTTGAGATAGCACCCACCATGTGCATCAAGTTTTAGATTTCCTTTCGTTTTTAATATTCAGCAACCAATACCCAGATAAGCATATTTGGAATTTTCATACCTTATTATTATTATTTTAAAGTGTGCTTAAAATTCATTCTTTGAAAAATTAGATGTTCCATACATTAACATATAAGTTTATAGAAACCATACCTTAATTTATACAACTATAATGTAGTTAAGATTTATAATTCCTTAACAATCAAAATGAAACTTTTATAAACTTAAAAATTAGTGTGCTTATGATTGCATTTCTTGACGACGTATTTGAAAATTATTAGTTTTTTCTTTTTTATAGCCGTCAACTGGTCCCATGTTCATTTATTCCCATGTAGCCATGTTTTTCTCGCAGTTGAGAAGCACAAGCACCAATTTACCATAGGATTTTTGCACTCTCTCTCTCTCCCTATCTATCTCTCTTTGCTGATGTCACTGTCCTTGTTGTTAAAAACACTTCTTCATACTTTGTTCTCACACTTCCCTAAGCAGAAGGAAACACTAGGAAAGAGGTAGAGACAGAGAGAAAGAGGGAACAAGGAGCTTGTGTTTGTAGCTTATAGCTACCTTCTAAGTTCAACAAGTCAGAAAAAACTGCCTTTGCCTTAGTTCAGGTGGGGTTCTTCTTTTCTGCTACTTATGTTAATGTGATTGTTATAAATAATGATAATAATTAAAAGAAATTATGGGCTTCTTTTTTTCTTGCATGAAAGTGAATAAAGTTTCATTATTTTTTTGTTTTTGTTTTGTCAAAGTAAACGAAGTGTGCAGTGATTTGTGAAATCATTTCTGTGTTTCTTTTTTGGTTTTGGAAACTGTTTTCTCTTTGGTGTTTGTTTATGAGTCTTTTAGAGTTTATACTGCTTTGTATAAGCTAGCTATCTCATATTTTGCCCAATTTGTTGGGTTTAATGTTTTCTTTTCGTTCTTGTATTTCACTGTTTTTGTTCTCTGAGCTTGTAAATGTGGATGTACCTTTCAACTGTAATTGAGTGTTGAATTTCCCTTTTTAGGACTCTTGGAATTTGAATATTTGGTGCTTTTTTCATTCAAACAATTCAGAATGGCAAAAACTATTCATGGTTCCATTTCATTGGTTTACTCTCTCTTCTTGTAAAAAGTTCCATACATGACCCAAACTCCAAAAGTATTTATTTTTTATTCCTTTTTTTTTATCTATTTAAATATTTGTTTGATGGCTATTTGTTATTTAAGTTAGCTGGGTCTATACAGATTATTTTATTCTGCTTTTGTGCACAAGGAGTCAAAATCTGGCTCTCAAAAGGGTCTGTGGTTTTGATTTTCTAGTCCATACAAAATCTAAAGTTATTTTCCTTTTGTGTAAACAGATTACTGGTTTGGATAGCCATGAACAACAATGTTCCTGATTGGAATTTTGTGAGTGATACCTGTGTCACCAATCAAAAGAAGCCAATGGGGTGTGTGCTATTTATTTCTATATAAGCAGAATACTATTCTTGTCCCAATTAACACTGCATAAATTGTAATTGTCCATATGGTCAATTCTACAGGGTGGATCAAGAACTTGTAGAGCTCCTGTGGGAAAATGGCCAGGTAGTGTTGCACAACCAAGCACATAGAAAACCGGTTATGAATTCGATAGCACCAAGACAGGTTCACAAAAATTTTCAATCAACATCAAGGACTAGTGAGCCATTTGGGAACTCAAGTACCTTGGTTCAAGATGATGAGACAGTCTCATGGATCCAATACCCTCTCGAGGATCCACTGGAACAAGAGTTCTGTCCAAATATTTTAACAGAATTGCCACCTTGTGAAGTTGAGTCTTATAAGCAAATAAGGCCATTTGAAGAGGGAAGGTTTTCCAAATTGGATGCTTCTAGTGCCCCTCATGTGACTGTAAGTTCACAATCTCCTACTATGAAATCCTCCTGTGTTCAGGAACTCCCAGGAATTCCTATTCCTGCTCCAAGATTCCATGTTTCTGATTCATCTCAGAAAAACAATGACTTTGGTGGATCATGCAAGGTCCTAAACTTCTCTCACTTTTCAGCACCCCTTAATGTGTCTTCAGCATCTGCTAATGCACATTTTAGAGACAAAATCACTGGAAACATGTCAAAAGGGGAGATTAGAGAGTGCTCAGTGATGACAGTTGGTTCAAGTTACTGTGGTAGCAATCACATCCCTCAAGATCCAGATGCAAGTAGAGCATCAAGCAATGGTGTTTGGACTAATACTTTATCTGCTGAGCCTGAAGCTATTAGAGATGATGTTCGAAGAACAATTCCTCAGAATGAGAAAGGGAAATCAGAGATGCTTGAACCAACCACGACTTCATCTTCTGGTGGCTCAGGTAGTAGTAGTCTTGAAAAAACTTGTTCCTTATCAACAAGAAACCAGGGCAAAAAGAGGAAAGGGATAGATGTGGAAGAATCTGAGGAACAAAGTGAGGTGAATCCTCCCTCTCTTTAATTGCCTTCATGATGAGATGCTTTTATTCTTTTTGGTGCACTGAGGTATTACTTTATGTGTAATAGGACACGGAACTTAAATCAGCAGTTGGAAACAAGGCATCTCAACGGGCTGGCTTGGCTCGAAGGAACCGTGCTGCTGAAGTGCATAACCTATCAGAAAGGGTGGGAGTTTTGGTACATTTCTTGTGAACTTAGATTTTGTTAATCTTACTCTTACCAGGGGCAGCATTGTTTTATTGATGCAGAGACGGAGAGATAGGATCAATGAGAAGATGAGGGCACTGCAACAACTCATACCTCACAGTAGCAAGGTTAGTTATCATAATGGATGTGGACTATACACTATCATAACATGTTTTGGAGGATGCATTCAGAGTCAGATATTGCTGTAATTGTAATTCACTAACTGCTATGCTTGAAAGTGATGCACTCAACAAAAATGGTGTGGATTTTGCTTAAAAGAATGAAATTAATTGATTTCTTAAAGGAAAATGAGAATCATTACTATTAAGAGCCGTATGTAGCTCATAACATTTGTACCAGATTTTCACATAAAATAATGTGTGCAGCTGTCGAGTGAAAAAGATAAAATTCAAGTACTTGGAAATTGATTCTTCATTTTATGAGATTTAATTTTATTGGCTTAAAGACTGAGTAAGGGATGTATATGCAGACAGACAAGGCATCAATGTTAGAAGAGGCAATTGAATACTTGAAATCACTTCAGTTACAACTTCAGGTACATGTGCTATACAATATCTTGCATATGATAATTCTCACATTACACAACTTAACTTTGTTCTTGCTGCCAGGTAATGTGGATGGGATCTGGCATGGCACCAATGATGTTTCCAGGAATTCAGCACTATATGTCACAAATGGGTATGGGAATGGCTACACCTTCTTTTCCTCCTATTCACAATCCGATGCAATTACCAAGAGTGCCGCTTGATCAGTCTGTATCTGCCTCTCAGACACCAAACCAGACATTAATGTGCCAAAATCCTATTTTGGGTGCCTTTAATTACCAAAATCAAATGCAAAATCCAGCGCTTTCAGAGCAATATGCACGTTACATGGGCTATCATCTTATGCAAAATGCCTCACAGGTAATTGCTTTCTTTCAGTAGGAACTTCACATTTTTTCCCTTCATAAAACCCCTTATGCCCTCTGGATAAGTTTCTCATAGTTTACCTATTGAGTTGAATTTTCCTTGTATCCTGGTTTTGTCTTGCAGCCAATGAATGTATTCGGATATGGTCCCCGGACAGTACAACATAGTCAAACAATGATTACTCCTAGCAATAGCAGTGGACACATGAGTGGAGCAGCTAATACTGATGATGCTTTGAGTGGCAAAATGGGTAAGCCACTTTCATACTTCTCTTTGCTTTGGCTAACAACAAAAATGAGGATACCACATCAATTATATGGAGAAGTTACACCTTTTGCTTGTTGTTGACCAGATGGTGACAAACAGCTGCTTGTCACCATGAAGACAGCCAATAAACCTTTTTCTACAACCACCCCCAGTGCTTTTTGACTAGGATAAGAAACAACTTTTTTTAACAATCCTTGTTCTATAATTTATTCAATTCCTTTTGGTTGATAACATTCTGCTCTGACATGTTGACTGTGAATACACTTGAGATTCTGGGTGGTGCATAGATCTCTATGGATGGCTGCAAGAATTGTTCATATTACTATCTCTGGTTCTTTTTATAAGACCCCTCCAAATTTAGTTTTTTTTCCACTTAGTTAAATGTGGTAATTTAATTTCTTGAACTTTCTCTCTTGAGGATAGGGGAAGATGACTAGCCACAATTGCCTATGTAAATTGTTGACAAATTTGATGGTACTAACTAAATTAACTAAATTCCTTGATTCTTGTGAAGTAGTAACAAGGTCTTATATATAAGACCAGAGGTAGTATATGCTAGATTTAGATCATCATAAGTTTACATAGCATAGAACTTCTATTGAGTGTTTAACTTCAGTACCTCATCAATACAAATTAGTCAACACCATTTCATGGCATTCTACAGTTTTATATTTTATTCGTTTTCTACTTATTGAATTTTGTTGTTGAAATCCTTTTTATCTCTAGTATTCTCATGCTAAAACTTTCATTAACAGTTTTTCCTTGTCATTGTTCACAGGTTAATTAGAAGCATGCTTATGTGAACCTACGGTGTACTAACAAGATAATTGCAAGATAATAGAAGCCCTTATATGCTTTCACAGTATGTAGGCGTGCTCAACTATATATACATACATACATATATATATATATATATATTCCACTTGATTCATCAACAAGTTACTTATATATGAATCTGTCAGTGCCTGTACAATGTGGTCCAAACCAAAACAAAAGCAGCAACCAAAAAAAAAAGGGATAAAATGATAATAAAATAAGAGTTATGAGTTCTAGGTGTGAATACCTCGAGAAAAAATCAGTACCTACCATGCGATGCTACCAAAAATTAGTAATACAGAAATTAGTTTCAGTAAGAGTGGCTACCTTAAAAGTAACACTGTTATTATTTTCATTTTATGCATAATTACTACATTAATTCCTTGGATACTGATATATGAAAGGGTCGTCCTTATTTGATGTTAAATGGAACATTATGTTTGTGTGGATTTTCTTATGCTGATGTGAATAAGCACAGCAAAGCAGGGCAATAATTAGTAGTATATGAGCCATTCATTGTCTGATATGTAATATTTAGTCAATATGAAAGGACTTAAATTAAGATGCATCCCTAGCCTATAACATGCTACCTTTTAATGGAGATGACTTATTCAACTAGATTAGATCATCTTTTTTTCCCTACTTTTCTATCGGTTACATTTTGTCCTAGCTTCCTAGGGTGCTTGCATGACCAAAGCACCAAATTTTACCAAAAGCAATATGTTGGGTGAGTATGCATAAGTTTGAAAAGGTTAGGTGATGCATGATTAATTTCTCCTTTCTTTCTTTCAACAAGAACTCACTCCCTAAACATTTTTCTGCTGTCGTCAGATATTAATTATTCACAGGTTGAAAACTGAACTTTATTTATTTTCCCTTATCCTGAAAAAATGCCATGAAAATGGAATATGTGCCCTCCACTTTGTGTGTGATGCTTTATCTTTAGTCAAGCTGCAAATAAATGTTGTTGGAGTGGTCCCTTTATCAAAATTAAAGGTAGTCAACTAACTGCTAAAATTTGGATACCACTAAGTATTTGTACCAAGTTGTTATCTTGTCATGGGACCTCAAAAATAGACACTTGTTCAATCCATGACATGTTGCAGTAACTGTGGTCCCCTCAGAATAGCCATGAAATAATCAATACCTAAGCAACTTACATTTTAAAACCTTTGGTCATGGTTTTGTTACATATCATAATCCATACTTTATGACTCCATTTGCACAAGTCGCCTCCAATTTGATATGTTCCTTCTTCATTAGCTTCCTTTTTCTACATTCCAGGTTCCTCCACCTTTTACTTAATAGCAGTACCTGAAACATCCTTAATTGGAGGGTTTGGATGGTGGAATCAACCCTGAAAGCGCCAAGATATACTCCAAATTTGTGTAGTTTGGTGGCCATGCAATTTATATCTAATGAAGAGTCTGTTGTCTAACTTTGAGAAGTTGTAGTAGACAGGTCCTTCATTATGGGCCAGTTTTGTTCTCAGCTCTTATGTCCCATCAGGTAGAGCATTTTGCACTGTTTGTAGATCTGGGAAAGTAACTTGATGAGCTAATTTTTTTGGCTGAAATAGGCAATCATTGTGTCTGAACTTCTCACGAGAACAATTATTTTGCTCAATGCCATAAACTATTAACTAAAATCTTTAAATTGATATGTTCTGTCTGCTCTCTCTCCACTAAAAACAATTCATGTCAATGAGTTAATTTCTTTCACAAACAAACAAGTAACGTCAATATGTACAATCCTGTTAAAGTGGCTCTCTTCAGACTCTCAAATGTCAAATGCCCCACATAATAGTTCTTTATACAACTTAATATATTGTTAATGTATGCTGATAGCTTCCATATGCACCTTAATTACTCAAAGAAACATAAGATATTCTTTAATATACTATTTTAGCACTTTTTTTATTATTATTATTACGTGAAAATATGTGGAACTCACTAAAAATTGTAGGTCTTGCTTCATGTCCAACAAGTCTCATTTGTTATTTAATAAGCTTCACTTGAATTCTATTATTGGGTGAAATTTATGTGGAACCCACTAAAAAAATATGGGCTTAACCTCATATTTAATTAGTCTTTTTAGTATTCCGTGAGTTTTACATGAATTTCACTCGTACTGAAGAGTATGTTGAAAAAAATGTTAACAGTGTATTTCTAATATGTCTTCTACAATTAGTATTTAAACTTGCTCTTAGTGTAAAATCGGCCTAGTTATAAAGGCAAAAGAGAGAAACAAAAGGGCATGAAATAAAGGCATTAAAGAGTAACTTTTTTGAAAGAAAACAAGTTTTCAAGGTGGGGAAACATGATATCTTGATTGGTTTTAACTTTCATTCTCATCTTGCACTTTAAATCGCATGCCCTCTTGCATAGGTCGAGTTAGTGATATGACATTCTTATCTTCAGTTCTTGACACAGCCATTGGTTTAAGTTGCTTTTAGAACAAGAATTCCCACAAAGCTTTTTCCTTTTTCATAAGGGGGTGGGGACTTTCCCTGCTTGTAGTTGAACTTCAAAATGCCATCAAATCCCACCACCATCTTGTTTCTTTCCATATTCTCCCAATCAATTATCACAAATTTGATTCCATGTTCACGAGTTCCGATCAATTTTTTCATGAAAAGAGAGAATGTTTATTGTTACTTTTTTGTGTCTATTGTCATTCTTATTTAATCAATTTTTATTTAAAATATCATTCTTGTTCTTGGTTGATCAAATCAATCATAAAAGATATTTTAGAAAAAACAATCACTTAGTTAGGAGTAACAATAGGCATACATGAGTGATAAGAGCCTCTCCCATGAAAAGAACCTGAATTTTAATTTGTTTATTTATTGTTTTTCTCCTAAACATTGTCACATCCGAATGAGAGATTATGGTATATTTTTTCAAGATAGTAAAGTTGTGTGAAACATGAATTAAAGGAATGCCAACAAAGAAAGAAGGTAAAGATGGGACCCAAGATGAAGATCTAAACAAAAATGAGATAGATATAATTAATTTAAGCCATCCAAATTGGTTGTATATAGACTATTCTTTTCCTCTCTCTCTCTCTCTTTACCCCACACCCATCTCTTTCTTGAAGTGCCAAGTTGGAAAAGGACCGATATCAACCCTCACAAAGATGCATATTTTTTTTTTGGGTGTGTAAAAGATTATGTTTGAGCTTATTTTATATCCACAAACTGAATTTAAAAAAAAAAATCACTTTATTGTCTCTATGATCACTATCGAATCAACAACTAGAATCTTCATACCCCACATAGTTAAATTAACCAACTACAATATCAAAATGTAAGAATTGGAAGGTTTTACTTAATCATTGGCCTTCTTTCTCCCTAATGATGTTTTAATTGTTAAATCAATCAGAAGGAATGACTTTTGCAACTGAGTCAACACTCAAAACAGGAATTTCTGTTAAGCAACTTAAGCTTAAGGCATAGTCAACTTATCTTTGTTTCATTTTCAGATAAAGTTATATATTGAATGGTGAAAAAGTAGTAGGATTCTTTTACATAAAGTGGAGTGCAACTTTGTTCCAAAACATGCAGTGCAATAATTTTGCAAAAACACACGTCCAAAATTTATTGGATATCTATAAATTATAAAAATAAAATAAAATAAAAAAGAAAGGATTTGACAGAAATTAAGGTAGTGTTAATTACTTCACTTCCCGTGAGTTTAACATTTAAGGAGTGAAAAAACACCTTTAACAAATATTTTCATCATAGTTATATTATCAAAGGTAATCTTAGAGATTCTAAAGGATATAAATCTCTTAAAGGGAAATCATTCCATAATTCCTCAACTATTAAAAATAAAGTGGAAAAAAAGTAAGCCACTCTAAAATTTTAAAATGCACTTCAGAGAAGCATAGTAAGTAGTCAATAATCCTGAATTTCTTGGTGCATTCAAATTTTCAATCAAAGTGTGCTTCCCAAGTAGAAGTCTTAACTAAGTCATCAGTGTTTCATAACTTCTTTGGAGAAATTTACTTCAAAGCTTCATTTTGCAACATTTGCTGAAAAAGAAAGAGAGAAATAAGATCATTGTTAAAGTACAATTGATATTAGTTACTAAATAGAGTTAGTTACTTGATTGCATGTAACACTTTGTCCCCCATTGGTCACAATAGCCACCACTGGAATGGCTTCTCTTGATGGTGTTGATTGATTCAAGTGTAGTTCTTGTGTTTTTCTCACTTGTGATATTCTTCTTGGTAAACCTTCCTTTATTTCTCTTCTTCAACTTTCTCTAGCTTCTCAAATGGCTGTTGAGCTAAAAATAGTGATGTCTTCTCCATTTTTCTCATAAAATATAAAAAAAATGCAACTAAACTTTTATTCTTTTTACTTCAATTTCACTCTCATTCAAGGAGGATAAATATTTTTTTTAATCTTTTAAATATCTGAATAAGATGAGTATTAATAATATGCTTTCTAATATACTTTTTCAAAATTCACATGAATTTTATAATTTTATAAATTTTAATTAACAGTGAAGAGTTTGCCACTGTTAACATTTTAAAACATAATGAGCAATTTCAACTTTTTGTATATTCCTTCATTTTATTTTTCCTCCTCATTGACAAAAACCCTCAAAATAAAGGGGTAGCATACAATTTGAAACCCAAAAGTGCTCTTCTTCCTTGTCACTCCTTTCATTCCAACAACATGAGAATTTGCAGAGATTAGTCAGAGCAAAACCAAACAAAAAAAGAATAGGAGGTGGGGTTATTATAGGGTAGTCTTAGGGGTGTTTGCCTGATCTGTTTAGGTCTTAGGGGTCCCTCTTAGTCCTTTGTAGCCTCCCAATGATTTTCTTGGTGACCCATCATCTCATCTTCTATAGGTATTATTTAGACTTGCATGTCAGAGCTTGCAGCCCTTCATAAATTGGCAAATGATACAAGTTCCCAACCAAACCAACATGGAATGGCCAAAATGTGCCTATCTTATTTGGCTTCCACTTCCTTGTCTGCCTATATATATATATATATATATATATATGCCTTTTAGATACCCTTCACAGTTCAACAAATTGCACTATTATACCACTTGTTTGGTATGGATAAGGTCTGATAATATAAAGCATAATTGAATTTTCAGCGTTGAGTGTAACAATTTTAAAGTTATATATTTTGTTATTTCTTTTTATAAAGCATCTTCAA